AGAAGATAGGATCAAGGGAGAATATCATTTATTACTTTTGGATAGGCATACCTTCTACTTCAAATGGGAGTTTTTTAGCTACTGTCTGGATTATCAAATTACTCCCTTTTGCCTGCCAGTACACTCAATGTACCCTTTATAATCTTTAGATGTAGGACTATTTTCTCCTTTACAAAGGTATTATAGCAATGGGTTGGATACATGGATGTACCATCAAGCAAATCACCATATGAATTTTACCAAGGGTGACATTTTACCATATGTTTCTTAAATTTATTCTCATAACTTTTGCTAATATACAAGATAGAATTTTAATGCCTGCCGGGTAGCTTGTCTTTACTTCAAAAAATATCCAACAAGTATGGGAAGCTATTGGGATTATTCCTTTTAACCCATGCCATGTAGTTGTAGGAGAAAAGCATCAAGGAAGAAGTGTATTACACAGTAGTGCAACTTCAGAACTTTTGCTGGTTGCAGGCAACAACCACCCTATTTCTAAAACACAATGGGCAGTTAGCAGAACTATACGAAGTGCTATTGCACTAGTGACACGCAATAAACCTAGCTTTCAAAGACTAAAGTTTCTTCTTTCAGGACCCACAGAAGGGTTTCAGCAGACAATCTTGGATAAGGTACTAGCAGAGGAGAGTTACAAAAAATATCAGGAGCTAGTTGTAGGATCTAAGAATGCTATAACTTCTGACCAGCGGAAGCTGGCAGCAGCTACTGTTATTGTAACCGGTACGAGTACTTGGTTATTGGTTTTGTTTTATGTTTTGTTTTAAGTATCGTTTGATACTTGGTTTTGTTTTATGTTTTATTTTAAGTATTGTGTGATACTTGGTTTTATTTTATGTTTTGTTTTAAGTATCGTTTGATACTTGGTTTTGTTTTATGTTTTGTTTTAAGTATTGTGTGATACTTGGTTTTATTTTATGTTTTGTTTTAAGTATCGTTTGATACTTGATCTTGTTTTATGTTTTGTTTTAAGTATCGTTTGATACTTGGTTTTGTTTTATGTTTTAAGTATTGCTTTAATACTTAAGAAGTTTTACCAAAGAGTATCAATTGATACCTTTGATTAGTTTCGTTCATGCTAGACATGAACAGATTTATGTATTTAAAGACCGCCTGTTTCTATGATAGAAAAGGCAGACTTCGACAGACAGTATTTCAATATACTTGGTTGAACGGTTACTTCTTTGTTCCTCAGTACACCCTTGAAGCCTCCTTTAGTTCTCAGCTCTCGCCTCCTCTCTGGAACAGCAGGCCACCTGCCAACTATCGTACCTATTACCGTTAAAGTGATTAGCACCTTACGAACACATGACAGTTATTACAACTGAAACTATCCTCCAATTGCCTGAGGAAAGAGAGAGGGTTGATACTGCTAGGGCAGCAAGACAGGTCAGGAAGCTTACAAAGGTTCTAGATAGATTTTCTGTAGTAACTACTGTAAGAATTCTACAAAGTTGTGAGACAGACTGTGTAAAAGGAAAAGAAAAAGGAAAATCTATTAAGGGAGGAAAAGAGAAAAAGGTTACAATTGTGGTGAATATTGTAAGAGGTGGTGCTGGCCTAAGGGGTCTGGCTATTGAGTAGAAAGATAACACTAATAATAATAGTAGTGAGTACATGGGACTGTCATGTAAAGCCAGCAAGTTTGTAGGAATAAATATGCATTATGTGATAGAGTCTGGTAGTCCTCTTGCTAGGATAAATAAGAAACCTACGGGATCATAGGAGTTGGGGAGGGTTCTCTACTCACAGAGAGTATAAATATAAGACAATAGAATTGTGCTATTTGAGGCCCAAGTGAGATCTACGTCCTAATTCTGTTCAATGTAAATTATGTTAAGTCTGCAACGCTAGATAGAAAAGGGTAAAAAGAAAATAGTAATGATATGTTAGGTAGAGACAATCTGATAAACTTCAGAGTTGTCTAAGCCAACCAAAATTGATTTCTGTAGATGGAGATTGTCTAGAAAGGCTCAGACTTTGCTTGCTTTGCTTATGACTACTGAGAGTGAAGTAAAATAGTTAACGTAGAATTGAATTGAAAAGACAATATTATATTGTTAAGGTCTCTTCTCCGTTGCTTGATGATGTCTCAAGTTTGAGAGGCACTTCGATATTTTATTCTCTGTCTGAGCGTTCATGGACTACATTTATTTATTATACAACTCTGTACTTCTCTAATTATAACTTGTAATGTCAGGTATTATTAAAAGGTACGAACACCTAGAGACCTTGAAAATCACTCCACCCTCTTTGGCAATTACAATATAACTAACTAGGAGCTATACTGTTTTTAATAGTAATTATCTGATCATTAGAGTCACTAAACTTATAGCCTAGTTCTCAATCTGAACTGAGTTAGCACCAATTGTCTCTGTCATTAATGAAATGATCAGTTTCATCTTCTAGTTGTCTCTACAAGGGTAGTTGTAATTGTAATCTTTCTAGGTTACCTGACTTCAAACTCTTATAACTCCTTACCCAATCAACAAATATCTTCTAGAGGACTTCCTACTAATATACAAGAAGCTATTCTACCGGATTGATAAATAAACCCTCGGTCAGCAACTCTTGGTTGCTCTGGGTAACAGAGTTTTAATCGCTATTATAGCATTGAGCGTTATCCTCACAGCTACAGCATGCTCCGAAACCTAGTTGTAACATTCCTTAAAGTCTATTTACCTCTATAATAGTGTCTCTCAGAGTTTTAGACTCTTCTGGTTATTGTAGGGTAGATGTGAATGTATTGGTCTCTCATTGAGATCTTTTATCATTTGATATCATCTCTTTATATGAAACGTCCGATTATCTACGGCCTATACCAAAGATGTTACATCTTTGCAGCCTAGTAACCCTCTGAGTAGTTGACGGATTTACTCTGTTCCACTTCCTAGACCTAGTCGAAGGTCTCTTCTCATATACACTATGAACAAGATTAAGTCAGTAGGATGGTGGCGACATATATAGTATTATTCTAATATTTTCAATTCTGTGATATTATAGTCACAGGATGCAATTGAGATTGATATATATGATGATGTGTAGGTCCTGTAATGAGGTTAGAAGGCAGTGTTGAAGATGAGAGTTTCTGATTCTGAGTAAGGTTACCCTACTTAGGATGATTCCTAAGTATCAGATCCTGGGATTTTCTAATATGATAGTAGTACTATAGTAGCAGTTTGCAGTTACACCTTGCTATCTTGAACTCACTACTCTCTATAATAATTACATTAATAGATGCCCTAGAGAAAAGGAGAAGCAAGAGAAAAAAATCAAACCTATTGAGAATGCACATTTACACCAGCTCTGAACTCGTATAAGTTAGAGAGAACAAAAAAAACCCTGTCAAGAATACACTATTTTTACCAGCTTTAAACTCAGATGAGTTACAGAGAAAAAGAAGAAGAAAAAAAAAAACCCATTACGAACACACTATTTCTACCAATTCTGATCTTAGATGAGTTATAGAAATAAGTTGACATAAAATAATCAGAAGAATAGAGAGCAAGCTATTTTTGCAAGCTTGAACTAGTCTCCTGAAAGTATTAGAAAAAAAAGAAAAAGAAAAAAATTATAGACTATACTGTATATACAGGTAAAGCCCTACCTAATCAAAACAGAAATGTAATCTTATATATTGTATACACTATTAGAGCTTCTGTTCTCACAGGGTAGAATCAAGTGTAGTAAATACTATGTCTTTTGTTCAGTTATGTTTTTAAGTAACTTGTAAGTAAAGACTTTTTCAAAGTCAGGTTTTATAGCTTTAATAATAATAGCTAGTTTGAGAAGATCTGCCAGGTCCAAATTTAAGGAAGAAGTGTAAGTTGGAGTCTTAATAAAATCCTCAAGATGACAGTAGATAGATGTAAAATTCTTAACAGAAGTAATTTCCTATTTTCCAATAACAATATTTTGACTTACTTTAGAAATTGCCAAGAGTAAAACAATTTGAACATTATTGGAGGAGTTGGTTAATTGCCAATTTGTATCAACCTAAAGCCTTTCAATTGTCTCCAATTTACTATACTTGATTACTAGAGTGAGTCAGTTTCCCTTTCAAGAATGAGTTAACAGTGATTTGAATACAGTATCAACTTTCTTACTACTCATTATCCTCTTATACCTGATGCTTCACATGTCAATTAAATTCCAGTCAAGTTGAAAGCCCATGTTTGCTGTCTTTTCCCAAACCAGTCTCGTAAACTCACTTGTAGCTACCTCATAAACTCTACTCAGTATTTTAACAATCAAGGTTAAAGAGTTTCTTGTAGGATGTATCTCAGAGGTCATTAATTTTTTAAGTTGTGCCTACCTTATAGGTGAAAGGACTACATGCTGCCCCTCATTACATATCTATGATGTATTTGTAAGAGACTTAACCAAGCCTGAAACAGAGCGGTTATCAATAAACTCTCTGCTCACCGGACATTCAGTACTTCTAGTTGTATTGTTCAGCTACCATTGATGGCTATCGGATGATGATCAGATGGGATGATAAGGACAAGGACAAGCACTGTCCAAAGATGAGACATTGTTGTCCTCCATCATCCTGATCCCATCTAAGATGGACTGGATAATTGGAAGTACTGAGTGTACTGCACAACATGAATGAATTCATGTTATGTAGTACACTAAGTAAGGAAGCTTGTGAGAAAGCTTGTAAGGCAGTAGGAGTTGGGTAGACACTGGTTGGAGGGGGAAGTAATAGATCGATAGAATCAACTTGTCTGTCAGACATAGTAGTAACGTTTGAGAGCTTTGAGGATAGGAAGTGATGAGGATCAGAAGAAATGAGGATGATATATGATAAGGTGATTGGAGTGGTGGGCATTTGAAGTGATGAAGAGGAGAAGTTGTTTGTTGGCTGATTAATTTAGTGTGGTGGAAATTTTCTGGTAATAGAAGTTGTGTGGGATTGTCACTGTCACATGCCATGGGTCCTGAGTTATATGTTCTATATACAAGTACTGTAAAAATCGGCTGTATCCACTATCGGTGATTGGAGCTTAGCAGTTGTGCAAGGAGATGTGCATAATGTTGTCAAGACAAAGAGTGATATCAGTCTTACTATGATACCAGTATTGAGATTGGGAGCAACGACAGCAATATCCAACAATCAAAGGCTTAACCCTCTGGAGACCTCACAATCTCAGATCAAGCTGCAAGACATACCTTGCTGTATCATATAGAATTCAGGTAAATTTTGAATTTCTTTGTACGAAAATCATTCGAGAATGATGGAGCTATAGCAACAAGATAATGTATGTTCATACAATAGGACTTTGGTGAGGAAAGAAGCTCTCAGTTTTGCACTCTTCCAGAAAACTGAGATAATGGTCAGAGGAGATAGGAGATAAATACTGTTAGGAGGATTGAGGATATAGCAATAGCAAGGTATAAGTATAATAGTATTAGTATTAGTTTTCTGTTTCAATAAATGCTACATTATTATTACCCTCCTCCTGTACATCAGTCCTACCATCTAGTGATATCAAATCCTCTCTCAGATCCCCAATTTCTAAGTTTGTAAAACTCTTTATATCTAATTCCCAGTCAAGACTTCTATCAATTGGAAGCGACAACTGCAATTTACGAAAAGAAGCTTTAATTACATGAGTTTTTTGAGAATGGAATTGGTTGAACGCTTTACCAACACAGTAAGTAGTTATAACTCTACTATCTCCAATAGTTCATTTTTTAAAATCCTCTGCCGATTCTAACTCAAAGATTTTTTTATCAGTGAGATCCCGTATTAACTCCTTAAATGACTTGTTTACTGACACATTAAGCGGTTGGACAAGACTCGTACATCCAGCGGAAATTAGAAAGGGGATGATATTATAGGTTTGGAGGAGTTGAAGAACTGTGGAAGTGTAACGATCCCTCTCTGCATAGTTAGTTCTTGGCGATGGGGAACGATACTTCTCTTTCTGTCTTCTTGTTTCTTTATGTTATGATAACTCTAGGCCTCTGCCTAAGTTACCGATAGTACAAGACCTTTATCTTCTATCAGGAACGCCTATTGTAAGCTTTCTCTAACTCGTCTTCGTGAAGGTATTTTCTTGGCGTAACAATAACGGTGCAATAAAGATAAAGATCATAAAGATGTTTTATATTCGTTAGAGTAATAAGTAGGAAAAGTACTTAGAACAAAGCGTAAAGAACCTATCTTCCTCAGCCGCCTTGGCCTCCTTATATAGTATTCTTCCCACTTGTAGTCATGTGACCTAAAGTGGTCACATGTGCGAAACCAAATCATAACAAACAAGTCATGTGACTAAAGTGATCACATGCTCAAAACCCATGACCTCATAGCGAGGTTATATACAAAAACTCATAAACCAATCATAATGCAATAAACAAGTCATATGACTCGACTGAGTCATATGCGCGAAACCCATGACCTCATAACGAGGTCATGTGCAAAACATAAATCATATGCACAAGGCTTACCCGTAAGGCACACTCACAAGGTATACTCGCCAAGCGTACATCCCATGACTCATACTTAAGCCATGTACGAAAGTATCACAAATCCCACACATAACAAATCATATAACCCGAATGAGTTATATGCGCAATACAACAACATACCTGTGACTCATAACCATGTGTCACGTGAAAACCTTTTCCATGCTAAGCCACGTTCGTGACAGGAAGTCTTATAAGATCCTATTAGATTGAGGATAAAGAAAGTCGGGTGGCCTCTGAGGACAGGAATCAGATGATTCGTAATATATTTTTTAAAAAGAGAATCGTTCATATAGGCTGTAGTATTATATTCTACTAAAACATCTGAATAATAGCGTAGTTTTTCTGCCTGAAACCTTGTTTCAGTTCTGTGAAAAATCACCATAGGAGATACTGATAGTACACCATTTGCAAATATGTAAAGAACTAAGTTAGCCTGTCTTTTGTCCTATCCAGACCGAGTTTCCTTTACCCAAATTGTCTTTTCTCCAACTCTGTCATAGGTCTTTCTCTGTAGATATTTGAATGATATCAGCATCTTGTCTAAATTGTAAATATTTAACAACTCATATCATCCAACAGGCCATTTAACAGCAATCTCGTAAAATGAACTTTTACATGGTTGCAAATTCTGGCCATTAAATCACAACCAATTGATGATAAGTATCTCATAATTGGCTGTGATCTTTTGTGCCTTTTTCGTGATAATGTTTTAACTAATCTTATATCAACTTAGAAATTCCCAAAACCATCTATTGCTGAATCGAAAGATTGCTAAATTCAAGTTTAAATATATCTCATGAAATCGAAACTGAGATTGAATATGAAACCAACTCTGCTGAACAGTTCAACCTGCTTTCCTCCTCTCTATAAAGTCACTATTTAACCTTGCTTCCAACTCAGGCCAAAAAAACCATCCTGCATAATCCAATTCTTTCTCCCTCTTTACTGGTGACCACTATCTCAATCATTCTATCATTTCCTTCTTACATACCCAGTCACTAATCGTTCTTTGAGGAATTTGATAGAAATCTGAGGCTTCCTCTTATGTTGGCTTGTAATACTTACAATTTTGCGGGAGCGGAATTTGATGGTGCTCAAGAAAGGTAAGTACTCTGACTTTCTGCAATTGACTATAGGTTCGTTTAGGATATTAGATTCAAGTTGGCTTTAAATCATAGAGGGTAAGAATTCTGTCCTTGATTGGCTTTGCTTTTGGTCCACAGCGCTGACATTTTTGATTTCAAATTGGTAACATTCTTGCTTCTCAATCACTCCTATTCTTCCCTTCTATGTATCATTCTTGTACTTCTCTTATATTTCCTTTCTTTTCTCCTTTCTCATTAATCAATAAACATACAATTTTTCTACAATATTGAGTCACAAACATCTGAGTCTGAGCAATTTATCCTTTTCATTATAATTTTGAATTCTAGTCATTTTACCATGCAGGTCAATTTGAGACGATCTTCTTAGCTCTATTTCTTTCCTTCCAATTTTATCTTATACTTACTGACTCATGTTCAATTTGATATAGTCCGTGCAATCTTCTGATTTCGGGATCATTGCCGGTCACTCGATCCCTTGGCACAAGCACACACACCCCTGAACATTCATTGCCAAGCCCCGATCCCCGATAGTGGATACAGCGAGTTTTTACGGTATGATACCGGTACGAGGGTGCATGGGCAAGTGATCCGAACGCAAGTAATGAAAATTGTTTTCCGATCACTTCTTTCCTCACATCATAGTGAAACCCTGATTAGCTGCCCCAGATAGCCTGTGGCAACGATTGGTCAAATTGGCGCTTTTCCTCGTACAAGCACAACCACATTCGTAAAGGTCTCGTACCCTCCCTTGTACCTCATGAACTCTGCTGACTAGCAACAAGAGAACAAGAAAAGCATTTTTGACTGACTGTTCTCAGATATGCCTCTAGGGATATGATACTTCGTCTGGGAGATGGTGGGTGGCGGTGGATATAATGGTCTTATGCAAACAGATAAAGTCTTCTATGAGTAATAAGTTTGATGATATTATGATGGTAATAGGGTTACTCGATCATTGAATCAAACTCGGATTGCTAGTTTATTATTAACTATACCCGAAGCTATCATAATTATCCATGATATATATATGATAATATGATAGTCTATCTATGATACACACATTTTTTAAGTCAACAAAACTCTAACCTCATCCGCAGTCCTTGGCCAAACGCTCCGCGCAAACTCGATCCCGCCTTCTCCCTGTCCGTTTCCTTCATTCACGAGAACGCCGATTACCACCTCCTCCACGCGGGAGAAGTCATCGACGAAGCGGGACACTGCCTCCTGCGTGATTTCTCCGATTATCTTGGGTGAGGAGAGGCGCCCCAGGCCGGCCGTAGCGTCCATGAGTGCGCTCGGGAGGAACTCGTCGAGCCTCTGGCTGACAAGTGAGAGCGCGTGTGGGGAGAAGGGGAGGAGCTGGGTCAGGGAGGTTGTCTTTGCTGTGTTAGTAGTCTGAATGCGAGAAGGAGAGGAATGGGGCGAACCTTCGGATCCCAGTCTGATAAAGCTACCAGCAAAGGGTGTAGTCCGCTAGTGTGCACGAAAAAGTTGTGCTGGAATTCCGTTAGCAATCTCACCTGTTCCCCCACCTCGATGTCTAGTTTGGAGATCCTATCTGCGGTGAAGCTGGATTGTTCTAGTGTTGTTTTCGCCGCGAGGTGGCAGTTTATGACGAATATGTTCTTGTCGACTTCTTCTAGGTCCTGGCTGAGGTTGTGGCACCCATCTAGGTACGGGTCTAGCGCTTCCTCGAGGATCTTAGAGAAGCCGCCTTCGCGCTCGGAGTCGGGGATTAAGGCGGTGCCGCAGGAGATCATTAGCTGCTTTAGCTCGTTGAGAGCTTCGTAGAGGAATGGTGGTGGAGTCAGGTCACTGGGCGCCTGCGGGAGCTCGGACTGAACGGCACGGACGTGCTCTTGGAGGGAGCTGTGGAATTGGCGGAAGGCGGCTTGCTCGGTTCTAGTTCTGTGTTAGCTAGGGAGACTATATTGGTAAGTCGAGGTGGATTTGTACGTCTTCATTGTTTCTAACAGGAATGATTCCTGGCCGAGTAATTTTTCGAAGGTTAGGCGGTAGAAGTTTATCAAATTGGAGATTTTATAGACTAAGGTGCTTTCTTCGTGACTGGCGATAACTTGTTCTATTCTTGACTATTTTTGGTATTAGTTAGTGGTGTGCCTGTGCAAATGATATGTGGGATTTAATTACCTTCAATGGCTTACACACAGTCTGCAGGTTCTTGTCAACCAACATCATGAGTCGTTTTCTAGCATCCCACCCGCCGCGGGTTGCCTCGCTCCCTTCTCTGTCGCCTTCTTCAAGCCACGGCTCACTCTTTAAACCCTCCTCGATACCACCTAATATGCTGTTTTGACCTTCTCCTTCTTGTGAAATAAAGAGTACCTCCAAAGCTTCTTGCTCTCCAACCGCAGTGGAATGCAGCCATGCAAGCATATCACCAATATATCTCAAGGGGTCATGGGCGTAAAGCTCTATAGGCTTCGTTGTTAGGTCTATGCAGGATGAAGTCACAGTACTTGGGGCGGCGCCGGTGAGGGCCGTGTAAAAGGAATCTAGTAAGACCTTTTGCCGGGCTTCAGCGAAGAAGTCCAAACAGCTCCTTGAAGCGTGTTAGAGTCGGCTATACAGTGTGCAGACAGAAGGGCAAACATACTGAAATAGAGTAGGCCTCTCGGCCAGAACCCTTAACGCCCGCCTTATCCCTGCATTAATCTGCGGGTTCTCGAGAGAAAGATGCTTTAATTCTCGCTGTGTCCACCGATACAGCTTCTGGAAAGCTCCTTGCAGATGACCGGTCATTTGGTCCATTATCTCTAGGCTGTTTTCCATTTGGTCAGCCTTATATTCCCCTAACCCCGAAGAGGACGCACCCAGCTTTCTGATTCTCACTGGCAAGCAGAACTTCGCAATCTCCATGTATCTTTTTTACTCTATTTAGAATCCTAAAGAATCGGTCATCGACGGGTTCTGCAGAGCTTGTCAGGGTGACCACATCTCTCTCCGAGACAACAAAGTGCTCCGCAAAAGCTTTTAGCAGAGCTTCCTTAGTTTCCGTCTTCTTCTTTTGAGCAAGTAACTGGGACGACTCCTCGAGTATATGAGTTGTCTCTGAGCTAGCAGTTGTGACATGTGCTTTCAGAGAAGATACTATATTGTTCATATCGTCCAACGTGTGACCCACAAGCTTCAATTGCTACATACATGACTTCTCAGCCTTCCTTTCCCAAAAACCCAATATCCACGCATACGAAAAAAAAAAAGGAAGCTCAAAGCTTGTGTTACTACAGTACCTCGGAGATTTTGGAAAATTCTCGAACGATATGCGCGTTACTCTGAATCACTTCCGCTTGGATATCTACCCGGAGCTGTCGTCGAGAGTCGGGGGAGTTTTCGGTAAAGCGGGAGTCGAGGACTTGCAAGGCATTGCGTATCTCTGCGTCTGAGTATGAAGCTGAGAGAATTGCCGATAATCGTTGCTGTGATAATGAGTCCATGATTGTATAGTTTGTTGAAAGAGGATGGCGGGATGATATAGGGAGGGGAACCGGGAACCGTGAGACAATGTTGGCTTAAGCAACCGTTGAGCCTCATATTTCGTGTACCCGAGTAGGTTACCCTCCCCTGTGACTTACAATGACTCCACGCGACACCCTGAGTGAAACGTCAGGCAGATACCATAGTGGGGAACGGGGAGTTAGAGCTTCAACCTGAGCAACTTCCCCACCCACTGACTTTTGGAGCAAACAGCTGTTGCTGTAAACGTGACACCTATTTCTTTATCCCACTGTTCGCACGAGTTTCCACTTAGATCATTCCTTCCTCAAGCTACCATTCTATGTCAAAGGAGGGGTATAGAGCCCGGTAGTTGTTTTACTCACTTTGGAGCATACTTTTGAGTGCTACTGACTGTTCACCTCGTTCCCGTGCCTCTCCCCTAGAAATACCATTACGCCAGCTTTCTCCCCTCGATAATCACTCCCTGTGCTTCGATTCCTACATCTGAACGAGCTTAGTTAACCTCATACCCTGCTACTCCACCTGTACATTACCCTAGGGAGCCCATAGAATGACGAGCAGAATTCTATCTCAAATATTCAACCAGAACTCTGCAAGTATATACGAGACCCTTCGCCAGCATGACGCAACTGATAACTCGGACGACGACGATGACCTCGAGGAGCGAGCCGGTATGCTGGCCCTAGATAATGGCTCGCACTTACCCCCACTGGACATCCAAGACGGCCTGGAAGACAGCAACTTTGAATTACAGCAACAACCCCCCGCTCCCTCAGAGTCTTCATTCATGGCTTCAGAGAACAACCGGCGATCTTACTTTTCCTCGATGAGCAGATCTAAAAAGAATATCTACGCTCCGCCACGGTATAGAGACGAAGAGGAGGGTGATGATGAAGTTCCTGCATCTCTGTTGTTGGAGACGGGGGCAGGGCCTAGTAAGAGGAGGGGCTCAACTGGCGGAAGGAGTGGAGGCGTAGTACCTGCACCGCGAGCCACGAGGAATGTGCTTTTACCGAATACCTGGATCGCTACTGGGCTGGAAGGGCATCAAGCTAGGGAAGAGCGAAGAGCCGACCGGAGACAGCAGAGTGAAGGGAAGGATTTCCGACGGCAGGCTAGGTTGGGGTTGATTGATCCGAAGGAGCGTGCTCTGTGGAAGTGGGCAAATGTTGAGAACTTGGACAACTTCCTCAATGATGTGAGTTATTCATTGTCAAGATGTTGAGTATTGTGGTTGGCTAACCGGATTCAGGTTTACGACTATTTCCTAGGGAAGGGAATTTGGAGTATTGCCCTGCACCGGTCACTAAATCAACTGTAGGAACTCTTTTTTCTGGCTCCCGTAGGAGTTACTAATCTCTATAGGACGCTTGCTTTTGTTGTTGGGTTTACTACATTTATGAGCCGTTGTGTCGATTATACGCTGGTACCTGAGCGCAAGAAGCTCTCAGAAGTGATCATCCCGCACTGCATGAGCCGGTAAGTTTCACTGTCTACTCACTCTTAAAAAATTTGGCTTACCCAAGAATAGGATGTCCGGGGTTACGACACTATTCATGTGGGCAATTTCCTTCTATTGGGTTATTAAGACAATTCACTACATTTTGGATACTCGACGTCTGTGGGATATTCGGAACTTTTATAAATATCTCCTCGAGATACCAGATAGCGATATGCAGACAGTGACATGGCAGGAAGTGGTTGCCAAATTAATGGCTTTGCGGGATTCAAATCCGACGACATCAGGTGCTCTTCGACGCCGGCATTTTAGTAGCCAATCGAAGCAACGAATGGACGCCCATGATATTGCTAACCGGCTCATGAGGAAAGAAAATTACCTCATTGCACTTTTCAATAAGGAGATATTGGACCTCACTATCCCTTTCCCGTTCTTGAGGAGTCGAGGAACAATGCTGACCAAAACCCTGGAATGGAATCTTAGCCTGTGTATTCTCGATTACGTCTTTAATGACCAGGGACAGCTGAGAACTTTGTTCCTCAAAGAGAGTCACAGGAAGATTCTTAGTGATGGGTGAGCTTTCTTTTCGATGAAAGGCGAGATGAGTGCCGTACTAAGCTTGTCACAGACTGAAACAACGATTCCTTTTTGCCGGCGTTATGAATATCATTTTTGCTCCCTTCATCCTGACATATCTCCTGCTCCTATTTCTTCTCCGCAATGTCAACGTTTGTGCTCACCGATCCCTCTGAGTCAACCCCAGTTAACGTGATATTAGGATTTCATCAAAACACCTGCCAGAATTGGGCACAGGCAATACACACCACTCGCGGAGTGGAAGTTTCGGGAATTCAATGAGCTGTATCATATCTTCCACATGAGGCTGAATATGAGCTATCCTGCTGCAGAAGCATATGTGGAGCAGTTTCCCAAGGAAAAGACGGCACAAGTTGCAAGGTAACTCCTAGAAGTCTTTATAGGCTAGGGTCAAATATTAACTATTTGTAGATTCGTTTCGTTTGTTGCTGGATCGCTATTGGGTGTTCTTGCCATCGCCTCGATATTTGACGGCGATTTAATACAAGGATTTGAGATTGTTCAGGGGATGAATGGACTCACAGCGATTGCTACCCTCACCACCATTGTAGCCGTTAGTAGAGGAATGCTCCCAGAGGAAAATACAGTCTATGACCCGGAATGGTCCATTAGGAATGTCATACAGCATATACATTATATGCCCGACCACTGGAAAGACAAGCTACGTACCGACGATGTAAGTGCTCTTGAACATCATTGGAATCCCACCGCTGATAGCTCCTAGATCAAGAAAGAGTTTATGTCTCTGTACGACCTCAAGGTGACGATATTCCTTGGGGAAGTCATGAGTGTCATATTCACACCGTTTGTTCTTTGGGTCTCACTTTCGAACCGTTCAGAAAGGATTATCGATTTCTTCCGGGAGTTTACTGTTCACGTTGACGGCATTGGATATGTCTGCAGTTTTGCAGTATTTGATTTCCAAAAACCCGGTGTATGTTGCATCTCCACAGTCATCGCGAGATCCCAGCTAATGGGTGTTGACCCTTTAGCGCCAAAGTATGGCTGACATACGTGAGGAGTATTTCTCATCCAAGGACAACAAAATGCTCTCCTCATATCTTGGTTTCATGGATCAGTACCACGGCCCGCAGAACAAAGGAGGGGCAAACAAACGCCAGATGTCAATGCGTAATTATATGTCCCCCATGCTAAACGCCCAGACTGGCAAAGGAAAGGATGGCCGCGGTGCCCAAGACCGCCGTGCAGGTGATGGACGCCAGGATATGCAACAATCAATCCACCGAGACAACCCTGGAAGAATGCAGGGCTCTCAGATACTCCAATCCTCCCTCTTAGACCAACACCACCAGCCACCACCTTTTGTAGCGAGAGCCCCGAGGCACCCTGCATTCCACCTATCCACAGCAGAATCGCTCAGAGAAGAGGAGGAGGACGCTATAGCGTCGGCCGACAAGCCAAGGGAACACTACCGCAGCAACCTCGGCGAGTCCTTCATGTCCACTCGCGTAACGGGCACTATGATGGCCGCGCAGGCGGAGGATGATGAGGAGGATCAGCAGGCGGGGCCACATAATGCTGGTGTACTAGACTTGTTGAATCAGTTTGTTGGCGTGGAGGGGGCGGGGAGGACTGGGGTAATTTAATTTTAATTCATCCCTTTTTTATAGCTTCTTCTCTACTTGTTTGGGGCCTTTGCTCTTTGCTTTCCCCCTAAATCGTGTTTTTGCGATTGGGACTTCTCCCCCTCCTTTGCTGCAGTGGCTGTGTGTATGTGTGTGTGACTATCATTGGTATTTCTAGCATTGGGCGTTTTGTGTTTTCTTTGTTTTCCTCTTCTCTCCTTCCGTTTCGTTAGTGATAACATGGCAATTATGACTGTACTGGTAGCGACTGGTGAGCGACGAATGGTGAAACGTGTGTATATTGCTGCGCTCTATTTCCCTTTATCCTTATTTTTTTACTAAATCTGGTTCCGGGATAGTTAGTTATTATTGCTAGGTATGGGACGCACTGTACAAAGTGACTGCGCTGGATGTATGGAGGTTCTCTCTTGTGTGCCCGTGCCTGTGGGTATTATAGGATAGGTATGGTAGGTTAGAATATTATAATAATATTATTATGGTATCCGGTTGCATCACAGAATATCACCCGGTTGTGATTCTTTGATAAGGTTTTGGTTTGGCTCGTTTCCGGCAAAGGTGCTCGGACATTTTCTCCACACCAAATATTTCCAATAGCACAAGTACTAAGTGCTCCAGAGGCCCGATGTATCATAGGTAAATTATACTAGACCACTTGGGTTGACTTGAAGGACTTGAAGAGGTATGGTGCGTCGGGTGGTTTGGGAATGGCGCTGGGGCTCCTGAGGTTGGGGTATGGATGGCACCTGGTTATGGGTGTCATAGGACGTCCAGTTGGGGTAGGGATGTTTTTCGCTAAATGGACGAGTGACTGGCCTTAGGGTGGGAGTACTTGTATCATTCTGCCCGATGCATCGTTGTGATATGTTCTATGTATCATAATATCAACAACTTCCCAGTCCCCTACCGCCTCGCCTTTCCATGATTCCACAAACGCCAACCACGGAAAAGTTCACCCCTCCAAAAAAACCCCAAGCGCTGCTGAGTTACCAAAACACTCCCTCTCCAAACCCCAGATCTTGACTCTCCACCTCCCTCCTAGTCTCCTCCACCACCTCCTCGACACTACCCGCGCCCGCCGACCCCCTGCGCACGACCTCCCTGGCCAATCTCTGCAAAACCCAATCCGCCCCCTTCCCCGCGCGCACCGCGTCCCCAAGCACAGACCCGCCCATCCAATCCCTAACCCCCAAATCCGCCCCAGCGCCCAGAAGCGCCTCCAAAACCGCCCCATCGCTAGCGCCCTGCACGGCGCCGAAAATCGCGCTCTGCCCGATGAAATTGGTGGCGTTCACGTCCACGCCCGCGGTGAAGAGCGCTTCCACGGCGCCCAGGTCGTCGTGCAGCACCGCCATGTGTAGCGGCGTGTCCCCGCTGGGAGTGGGCACGTGCGGGTCCGCGCCGGCGCGGAGCAGCGCGTGGAAGAAGTGCTTTCGCCGATGGACTAGCGCCGTGAGTAGGGGTGTGTGGCCAGTCGTGCTGGGGGTGTTGAGCGGGTGGGAGAGGTGGTTGAGGAGGAGGGTGAAGAGTCCCGGGTGCGGGGCTGCGATTGCGTTGTGGAGCGAGGTGCAGGTTGGGAGTGGTCGGAGGGCGTGCGCGTGCAGGAGGGGCAGGAGGAGGTTGCGGTAGTATTTGTTCGTCTGTTGGAGGTGCGAGAGGGAGGGCGTTGGGAGGTAGGAGGCGATTTGCAGGTGGAGTTCTGGGGGGAGGGTCGTGAAGGACATTGTAGGTTTATTGTTTGACGGACGGGTGGAGGTTCGGATTGTATATATACGTATATGTATATATATACCCATTCCTCCGCCCTCGAATATGATGATATACGCTACAGGAAGCAATGATAAATCATTGTCCTTCTTCGTCCCAATACGTGCAGCGAATCATTTCACCTTTATTTCACCCCGCGGTGGGACTTATCGCCCGGCCGGCGAGCGGCGTAATTCGTAGTATAAATGGACAACAGAAAATTTAAGACTGATTAGTTTACCAATGTAGCTTCCCCTTTAAAAATGTTCGAAGGGTGGAGGTGGCGCCGATGGAAGACTTAACTGGGCTAACTTTGATCGTTTATTCAATGACTTTCTGGTCGTAGATGGCAAACTTGCTGAGGAGCCTGTTTGGATGAGGTTATGATGGAGTTTATTTGAGCTGTCGTAAAGATTTGTAGTAGTCTGCCATACTGTAATTTACAGGTATCATATGAGCACTTGTGGAAATCTGGGTCTTGGCTGTCGTTTGATGGATAGAGTATCATAAGGGAATAGTGGCTCTTGGTGCGGTGGGTGTTAGGGTTTGGGGTTCTAATCTGCATTCGAGTGATTAACATTGCATAGCAACGATCTGCACATGACAACTTTCACTAACAATAGATTCCACAAATCCGCCGTTTACATTTACGAGTACGAGCTCCAAGCTCCAAATTCCAAGCTCCAATCCCCCTAACCACCTCCAACCCGGAAGGTCCAAAATGAGCACTCTCCTATCCCCACACCTACAGCAAATATCCGCCGCCGCGAACTCCCTCTCATCACTCCCCTTTGCCCCACCAAAGGTCTTCACAAACGGTTCCTCCTCGCCCCGCTCTCCCTCCCTTCCGTTTCCTTCCTTCCCTCCTCCAAAAGCTAACAAAATGCCCCAACTAGCCCTCCTCCGCTCAACAGACATCGTCTCGCTAATCCGCGACACCGACGCACACGAGCGCGCACTCTTCACCGTTCCCGCCGCACCGACGGAAAAGGACATGAAAAAGTCGCGCATGAGCATCGCGCCGCGGAGAAATACTGCTGTGTACTCCGCCCTGGGAGGGGACATGGTTGAGAAGTTGCGGAGGGGCGGAGCTGGGGGTGTGGGTGGTGGTGTCGGGGGCGTTGCGACGGGAGAGGTGGATGTTGAGGTGCTGCTTATGGGTGCCGAGAGGCTTTTGGGGGTTTAGTAGGTTCTCCCCCTTGGCGGGTTTATGTGAATTGGTTAGTAAGGGAGGTGGGACTAATTCGGGGGAGTAGTCATATCCCTGGTGCGGAAGAGAGGATACATAGAGCTAGGGAGCGGTACGATCACTTGACGGAGTCGTTGGAGAATTACGAAGCGCTTGTGGAGGCTCAGAGGCAGCAGTTGGATTTGCTACAGGGTCCTGAGCCGGAAGTGGTGGTGGTGGAGGAGGAAGAAGAGGCTGGAGAGGAGATTACGGATGAGATGCTCGCGGCGGAGGAAGAGGAGATTAGAGAGCTTGAGGAACGGAAGGCGGAGCTTGAGGAGAGGATTAGAAATGTTGATAGAAGAATGTATCGGCGGTAGCCGTGCATCGAAAGGTTGCGAAGCTAAAAATCAAAAAAAAACCCCGACCGCCAATAGTACCCTAGTGGTATGGTAATGAAAACACAAGAAAGGAAGAGGAAAAACTACCACCCCCAGGAAAACCACTTTTCCAACGAAATTATAAACCCTGGCATCCCCCTCCCTTCCGCCCACGCCATCAGAGCTTCAGCAAAGTCCTCAGGGGCCTGGATATCCCAAGCCAGAATCTTGCCCTTCGCAACAACAGCTCTACTCTCCGCATTCCCCTCCCTAACTCTTCTTTCCATACCCCTAAGCTGCCGAACTAAATCCCCCTTCCCACTCGCGCAAAGACAAACCCGCATGGGCAACGGTTTGAGCTCCCAGTCCTTCAAGCTCGCGTAAGCGGCGTTGCCCAGCGCCATCGTGGCATTGGTGTGCATGTCTCTGAGCAGTTCCTCGCTGATGGTACCGCCGTACCAGCTCAGTGCGTAATTGACCACATTGGGGAAGTACAATAGCGGGACGTTTGCCATCCACGACAGGCCCCCCAGGAATACGCTGGTGGGGAGGGTGCACCCGGTCACGAACACGCTGTCGACCAGATCGGGGTGTGTCGCCGCAAGGTGCAGGGCTAGGTAGGCACCGTAGGAAACGCCAGCGATGTGTGCGCGGGAGGAGTGAGCGTGGGATTTTATGAGGTCGGCTAGGAGGCTTGTGGTGTTTTGGAGGGAGACGGGGAGGTGTGAGGATTGGCTGTGGCCGGGAATGTCTGGGGTTAGGATGTGGTAGGAGGTTGAGGGGATGGGGAGGTGCGCAAACTCGAGGTGGCTGCTGTAGAGGCCATGGAGGAGGAGGAATGTCGGCGCGGTTGGGGAAATGGAGGGGCGCTCGGTGAAGAAGAGGGGTTTCGGCCGGGTGTTTTCGGCCGGGGAGGTTTGGAGCTCTATTCCGCCGGCGGTTGTGGCGTCTGGTTGGGAGCCCATTGTGTGCGGGTTTGGTGGGTTTTGTATTCCTGGGTTTGGATGTATAAATATTTCAGGAGCAGATGGAGGGCAGGCAATTAGGCGGAGAGGACTCGTCTCTAGTCGGATGGGCTGGGGCTATTGCTGTCAAGGGAGTAATTTCTTGGAATTTATATAGAGTTTCTTCACGAAAGTGTGGGTCGGAGGCAGTCTACTCCACAGTTGTTCCGGAGGTTTCACTGGAGGAATTCGTGGTTTCATACCAAGACTAGAGTGCGATGATACCCTTGTGGCACTGCACAAGAGTTTTCTACTCTAGACTATCGATAGCCTCACCCAGGGTCTCAAGGCAACCCCTCCAAACCCCTCCAAACTCACCAATCGATAGGATCGTCAACAAGTTGAAAAATGGGACAAAGTATAGGGCGATTAGGGCTTCATCATGAAAGAGCATTTCACCCCATCGAGGTATACTTGCCCCTCTATCCATAAGTTGGATAAATCTTGCCTTCACAACTACTATGGACACTAGTCACCGATCGGGCCAGAGCTAACAAGCAAACCCCTTGCCCCGGAACAACCTTTTTCCGCGAACCTCACCTCCTGTTCTCGAACTCACCTCCTAACTCCACCCCGAGATCCTCTCGCAGCCCTACCTAAAACCACCCCTACAAACACAATGCCTCCTCCAACCCGTCCCCGTCCAAAGCCCAAAGCCAGCAAATCCACAACAACAACAATCTCCGCTCTAACAACCCCGAAACTGAAACCGACCAAGGGCAGCGCCTCCCACAGAATCACCTCGGTGGTTCTAGGTAGCCAGCTAATACCCGCCTGGTACACATCCTCCTACCCACTCAAGGCCATATCTACTGACCACGACTCCTACTCCCCCTTCCCCCTCGCCGCGTCTACAAACCCTTACCCTACTAGCTGTGAGCGCATATACGTCTGCGAACACTGCTTCAGCTACACCCTCGAAGCCTCCGAGCTCCTCTTACACAAGCCATTCTGTCTCCTCTCCGAAGAGCCCCTAGGGAAGCTGGTATACGCGCACAACGGGTTTTCAATATACGAAGTCGACGGCGAGGAGCATACGCTGTTCTGCCAATGTCTCTCGCTGTTTGCAAAGTTATTCCTGGATACCAAGAGTATTTCCTACGACGTCGAGCCGTTCCTGTTTTATACGCTCGTCGAGGACGTCCCTCCCCCTACTACGGATGGTACGGGGGGGAAAGTAGGGGGGGGGGGAGGGGGGAAGGCGCAACAGCAGCAGGGCCGGAAGAGGATAGTCGGCTTCTTTTCAAAGGAGAAAATGTCCTGGGATGGCAATATCCTCGCTTGTATATTAATCTTCCCACCGTACCAACGGAGGGGTCTCGGGAAGATTTTGATCTCCTTCTCTTACGTATTGGCTAGAGGAGAGGGGAAAATTGGGGGGCCTGAGAAACGTATTTACCCCCCTCCCTTCCTCATCTGACTCTTAGTAGAGCTGACTTTGTATAGCGCTCTCAGACCTCGGCCAGAGAGGCTACAGATCGTACTGGACCTCCGTCCTGGCTGCCGCGATATTAAACCGCAAGCTCAAGAAACCTATCACAATCACGGACTTGAGCCAAGAAACATGGATTCATCAGGAGGATGTGGTAGCCACGTTAAGGAGCATGGGAGCTATTGGCCGGGGCGCTCCGAATGCCGCGGGGGAGCCGGCCGGATGGATTATTTCGAGGAGTAGGGTCAGGGAGTTTGTCGCAGCCGCCGGGGTCAAAGTCGGTTCTGGGGGGATTGCTATGGAGGGGATCATGCTTGATGGGTAGACGCTCTCGTGTGGGGGGAGGGGGGAGAGGGGAGAGGGGATAATTGATTAATTGATTAATGTATAAGACGGTGTTTTGAGCGTTTGATTTTGTATTGCATCTCTCTCTCTCTCTTTCTTTTTTATTTTTCTTTGTTTAATTTTGCATGACACGTAGGGGCGAGCTATGATAGCGGCTTTGGACCCTTTGTCATGGAAGGATGCTTTTGTCCTGCCAGTACAGTAATTTGGAGCCGGTATATCTACTCAACAAAGCCCATATAAATTATTATATCTTGGGAAGCACAGTGCAACTTGACTGGAATAAGAGGATAATGACACTCCTTCATGCACACTTCTGGGGAAATGTGTTCAATTGTTTGGAGATAAAGTTACCGAGGATGGATTTATCAGATGGAAATATGGTGCGTGCACTTCAAAGCGCACACGAGGCTGAATTACAGGTGTAATAGGGCTCAAGGGTAATTCGGGCGCGGTGCCACACGCCCCCACACAAACAATTTGGCTCGGTAGTAACGACTCCAGGGGGCCTCTGGACACCATGTTACCAACAAACATGGTTGTATGCAAACATGAAGCAGAAAGGCATGCATGAAGCACCGAATGGAGTAAGGCATCATGAAACCACTCGGGATGAACGAATGAAGGTGATAACCTTAAGAGACAATGCTGGATAGAGCTAGACCCGGCTAGGAAGCTACCTGAATATTGATAGGCGAATGTGTCAGAAGGTAAATAAAGAAAAAAAATACTGGGAGAATTAAACTAACTTTTAAGATTTATCAACGCACAAAGGAAACGGGAATACCATCCAACTATTACTAGACTGGTCATCCCCCAATATTCGATGGTGGTAAGAAAACGCAGCTAGAAACCTTCATTACACAGGATTCAAGAATACAATAACTAAGTTGGGACACAGTCTGCATTGAAATGAATTATACCTGCAGCCCAATAACCGTTAAGAGAGTATTGGAATCTATGGGATATTATCGGTGTATTCCTCAGTGCGAATTTGCAATTCGACCTACCAATAGGCCAATTCAGGTTACTTGGTGTCAGGAACAATTAGACTGAACCTACGAGTATTGACTTAGAGTTCTGTGGACTGAAAAGTCAACTTTTTCCACTCCTGACCTCACAAATTGGCCGTGGGTAACATGAAAAGTGTCTGAAGAATACCATCCTGACTGTACTGACAGCACATATGAGTCTGGCTGTCAATTAAAAATGGTATGAGTTGCATTCGGTGGAATACTCAAGTCTGACCTAATCTTTATTCCTGGAAGAGCTATCCTGGATTGTGCATTTTATGTCCAAAATGTGATGGAACAACAGCTTGTTCCATTTTGGTACTAGTGCTGTGAGGACTATGACTGGGTAGCTGTGATGGAGGATAGAGTACCAGGCCATAAAGGATTTGCTAAACAATACTGGCAGTTGAATGAGATGAAGAGTCTCCCATGGCCAGCCCAGTCTTAGAATTTAAATCTTATAAAGGCACTCTGGTGGAATATGGAGGCAGAACTAGGAGAAGGGTAGGACTGGGTTAGAGATACTCAAGCCCTAGACTGTGATTTATAAACGGTCTGGGAGGCGATTCCTGGGAACCAGCTAGAGAGGTTAATTTACAGTGTGCCTGGATGGCTTCAGGCTGTAATTGATGCTCAGGGAAGCCTGACACCATATTAGTTTATATATAGTATCAATATTATAGTATGTATACGACAGTGATTAGGAGATATCACTTGCTACCTCTCCTAGAATGGAAGTACCCTTGACTTTTGTTTCTCTGCAACCATGATTGCAACATATTACTCACATTTCTCCCTTTGTCATAGTTACTATAGAAATATCCTTCCTGTTTCAGAAGTGCGCCCGACTTTTACTTACCTCCAAGTACATGTGGCTTTGTAGGATCACTACCAAGATTACCTTATGTAAGCAACCAGTGGGAAAAATTAGGTTTTTCTTGTATGGTGGTAAAATTATTAAGATCATCTTTCATGTAGGATATGAGTAAGATATCATAACAAATAATATCCTAGTATATAATATGAATCCTTGTACTACATTATTGCTTGTAAATTATAACTTAATATATCAAGATAAAAATACAGGGAAGAAATATATAGAGATACATTTTCTATTATTAACCTTCATTCTAACTCAGTTAAATCTATGGTATAGCCTACTAGTATATTTGATATTTATACATAACTGTGGCCTAAAACTCTGGAGAAGTATATGCAATACCTTGTCAATACACATTTAGAATTCAATATGCTCTTTCTGTAAAGTTCTAAATTAAAGTAATTAAAGTAGAATCTAATATTTCAAAAACAAGTAGTTATAAAGTCTTAATGCTATATTTCCAATTATTTCAAGTATATTGTTTTGCTATTCTATATATACTTAATAAAGTTAATCCTACAGTAAAACCTCAGATAAAGTAGTACTTAGTAACTTGAAGCCTTAATTTTCTTTTACAGCTAACACTATTACATTTGAAAGTTCTTCTCTGTAGAAATAATTACTTAAATACAGTAATAATTTTTATAAAGAGACGTTTTTAGCAGCTTATTGGTTCCTAACTTTTAGCATTGAACTCAAAGCCATTGTACTATAGTCCTCTCTCTTGTAAAACCCACTTCAGTTCTTTGAGTTTACCTCTATTATTAATTTTACTTTAAGTTTTTCCAGTAAGGAGATAGATTCTAGTTTATAGTCAGTCTTGTACCTCTTCAGAAAATAAATTCACTGGTATATTCTTAGATAGTAGAATATCATAATATTATTAGATATAAAGGAATCAAAGCAGTGCACAGTCCCTTAGTAGGGTAACTGTGTACATACTCTCAATTTACTGAAGCTAATACCCTTCTTCTAATTCCTTTATGGGGCCTGTATATCTTTAGTGAAATTTTGTAATTTTGTGTCTTATAATGATAATCTCATATCACTAAAGCTCATTTAATAACACTATATATATTGTAGCTATCTATTTAACTAGAGGCTGCTTATAGGATATAAAGAAGTCAATCTTTAATAATATTTAGGAAGTAGGATGGAAGAAATCTATAGAGAATACATACTTGAGTGATTATTATAATTAGACATATTACATAATAAGTAAGATCATGTTATCACTAAGACTTTTAGGTAGTAGCTTTATAGAATATTATAGAGTGATACTCCTTTTTGTAACATAAAAGTTATAAGATGTAACTTTCCAGATTGAAGCTAATAACATGTGGGACCTATAAGGGGACTATAGTGGTGTGTTGACAAAAAGCTTTCTCAAGTTAGAGTACTATAGTTACCCTACTTTAAGTACTTTACTATGATACCTTATAACCTTCTTATATTTACTATGCATTTGCTATAAAGTAGTGAAAAGAAATTTTAAAATAGATTTAAAAAGTTAGTATTAATAGAAATTAGAGATAAAAGAGGGCAAAACTCTCATATTACAAGATTGGTTATTTCATCAGAGATAATTCTCATCAGCTATAATTAATAAGTAGACCTATTCAATATTGACTGAATAGAATATTATCTATTATTATCTATATTAGAGAGATGTATACTGTATTGTAACTTTCTTTCTCTGCTATTCTGGTTTGATCAGTTGGAAATAGAATTTATAGAGCTTATTTCAAACAGTCAATTGAAACAGAAAGCTCAAAATAGAAACATCTAATATGTGTTATTTTGTAGATTATTATTTGTCTGATTCTTGTTTTCTTTTCTTTTCTTTTCTTCAACTTCTCTCTGAATTCATACTTGAATGTTGTTAGGTAGTTCAGTGTTCAGTAGCCAATGTGAGGTTGTGTATAGGTTAAAGGAGGGATTGGAGATATCCCGGTGAGGAGGTGTTTGTAGTTCCTAACTTATGTCGAACTGTTGCTTTTGTTAAACTGTTAGGCACTCCGAGGAAGTGCTGCCTTCATAGAAGGTTACTTAGCATCCTTCGATGTGGCGGGAACCTTGGGACGGCTATTACTTGCACGGATATTCTCAACTGCTAATCAAGTACTATAATGGTATTAATCAGGCGTGTCCTACTGCACGACTATCTACCTGACAACCGTACCTATTTAGACTACCATCCTGATAAAATAAGTTCACACTGCTACCATAATAATATCGATATTATGATATGCTCCAGTCTAACAAGGATGAAAAGAGATGTGATAAAGAGGACAAAAGCTAACCAATTACTGTAACTAAAGCGGTATGCTCCCCTTTATCCGGGAATACCCTCCAAACAGTACCTAATCTACTCGAGCTCCCCCCCGTTAAACAGGCCCCCATGGGTTAATCGTCATAAATCTTAACCCTTTCCGAAATCGCCACAATATCCGACTCAATATTATCACTGATGCTATCGCCGTCACCGGCCGCTACTCTAAGGATTAATTCATTGAGTTTTTGACGCCCAAGAATATCTACCGCCGCCCAATTAGTACTTGCAAACCTAGCTCTTACGAGGATGGGAGAAAATTGAAAGGAAAAGAAAAGAAAAAAACACACCAACATGATCCCCAGTATTCGGACCACCCCTGATATCAAACATCTCCGGTTGATGCGGCATCTCATATGTCTTGATCTTGACGCCGGCAGGATTAAATCTCTTCAAACGCCACCCCTTTACGCACATATATCCCGCGGACAGGAGCGAGACCGTGCCATCGCCCTCTGCAGTGACGACCCCACGATCACTGCCTTCACCGCTAACGGTTGTGTCGATGCTAACGTTCAACCGGGACAGGGGGTCATTGTTCTCGTGAAAGTAGTAACTCCGTTCTGTAGGCTTTCCAATCCCGTAAAAGCAGTAGATTTTCAAACTGGGTGCAAACGGTAGCCGCGACTCCAGGGGGTTCACCCACTTCTGCGGGATCTTCTGGTTGGCCTCTACTTCTGCGCCGCTGAGGGCTACACCGTGGGAATAGGACTGTCGGATCATATTGTGGAACCAGGAGTCTGAGTTCTCCAAGAGGTAGTCGAGGCTCTCCGACATGCTCAGATTCGCATGCGCCTCCGTGTAGTTCCCCTTAGTGAACTTTATGAATGCGCCGTTGCTGGTATTCTGGGAAGGGGAGTCGTCGGGCGCCCAGGTGAGGTTGCCCCAGACGGCGTTGCCGCCTTTCGGTAGCATGCTGGATATCCCGGGCATGGCGCGCATGATTTCCGCGCGGTCTTCGCGGCTGAAGAATTTCTCCAGGCCGTAGACTGCGAAGCGGTTTAGTTGGGCGGTGTCTTTCATTTCCCCCGATAGCACTGCCGGCACGCCTTTTACAGCACCGAGCATGCATCCACTTATCTGTGGTTGGTGTTAGTACTGGTGGGTGAGAGGTTGTGATGAGAGGTACTGAACGTTTATGAACGCTTCAATGTTATCCTCTACCCACCTCGACCCACCATCCCCGTACCCTTCCGCCTCCACCCACTTGAAAAAATAATGCGCGAGCTGGGACCCCATGCTATGAGCTACCAGCACCACCTTCTTATCAGAAAGCTTAGCAGCAGTCTCAATATAATTTTTCAACCGTGAAAAGTACCGATCCCTAAGTTCCAAATTCTGATACGCTAATCGCCAATCGTAAGAAGCTGTGTGTGCCGAGGTAGGATCATATCCGATGCTAGCTAGATTCTCAATAATCTTACTCCACAACCAATACCTACACTCCCTCACCGTCAGTTTAAGCCCAGTCTTGTGGGCGTGCGGTGGCGCCGGAGGAAGAACGAAGGTGTTGGCAATACCCAGTGACGAAGAAATCCGTAGCATCGAAACCTTGCGCAGCTCGAAGCTTTATCCCGGGGGGATCAAGTCCGGTTTCTTTATCAAGCATGACATGCGCCTGTCCACCACCCCCACAACCCATAAGCAACATTTCAACAATACCGGAGTCTACAAGAGTTGAACCTTCCAAGTAGCCCTATCAGTAACCATTGCCCGCAGCATACTCCAAGACCCCCAAAGCCTCTTCCGGAAATACGGCCGACTCTTCTCACCGGTTCCCCAACTCTCCAATCTGCTCGCCCAGCCAGCGCCACCACCGCTACTCGTCAGCGCTCTCCCGTAGCATAGATGATAGAATTATACCTGCCCTAAACCGCCACACCCCACAATTAGCCCCCACCTCCGCAAGCTGGGTAAGAGCGGAGAGCAGACCTGTAGAAATAACCCCCGGAATCATGACAACCGGATGTCTAGCCGTCAGGCCCTCCGCCTTCAATGCAAGTCCCACCTGAAAAGATTCATGCCCAACCGCGTCCTTCTCCTGTTTCGAAATCTCCGTAGCCTCCTTTAGGATCCCAACCGGGATTACGTCGACCAGAGCGTCCAGTCGAAGCTCGGAAATGAATTGCATGGAGTCTTGGCTCTTTGCCGCGAAGCCGGCTAGTAGGAGGCCGGCGATGCCGCCGATGAAGAATGTGAGGCCCAGTGAGCGCTTCTTAGTCTTTTTGCGTTCTTGGGGCGGCGTTGGAGAGAGTGAGGGTGAAAATGTGGCATCGTCGTCGAGTTCGGGTTCTGGGGGTTTTGGGGAGCCTTGCGGTTTGCGGTTTTTGACGGGCATGGGTTTGTATGATGTAACGGTACAAGCTTATTAGGCTGTAGGTAGGGTACGGCACCTATACTCCGTATGGCTAATAGTACGGCAGTCAGGTTTGATACAGAGATTGATAACTTGAGGGAGAGGGAGCCGGTTGGTGAAGGTAAGGGAGAAAGAAGAGAAATACTGTACTCGAGCACAGTACTTGTACCGGTACTGCAGAGAAGCCCTCGGTAGCTATAGCAGTGCTAGCGGCCAACTGTCTTCCTTACCTCCACCTCTTTATGCAATAATTTGGATGAAAAGCAAATGGCGTAACTCCATTCCACACCCCTGCATTTTTCACCAAAGAAACGCCGCAACCAGCCCACCAAGTTTTCGATAATCCTGGCAGAGCCTCGGCCCTTCCTCCCCCCCAAAAAACCTCTACAATGCCAGAAATAACTTACACCCCCTACGACGCAACCCAAGAACCGAGACAACTTGAGTCCATCCGCACGCTGATATCCACCGACCTCTCCGAGCCATACAGCATCTACGTCTACCGTTACTTTCTCTATCAATGGGGAGAGCTATGTTATATGGTTTCCCTCCTCCCCCTCCCTCTTCCTCCGCAACAGCTAATGCAGCCGCAGGCAATGGACGAGGGATCTATGATCGGCGTCGTAGTCTGCAAACTTGAGACCCATCGCGGCGGGCCGATGCGTGGGTATATTGCCATGCTAGCTGTTAAAGAACGCTATCGTGGTAAAGGGATCGCCACGAATTTGGTCAAAATGGCGATTAAAGCTATGATTGAGAGGGATGCTGATGAGGTATTGCTTATGCCCAGCGGAAGTGGGTATTAAAAGCTAATGAGGAGGCGGGGGGGGGTCGAGTATAGGTAGCGTTGGAGACAGAAATTACCAATACTGCTGCCATGAGGCTTTACGAAGGGTTGGGGTTTTTGCGGAGTAAGCGATTGCATAGGTATTATTTGAACGGGAATTCGGCGTTTAGGTTGCTGCTACCGTTGAAGAGCCAGCAGGAGCTGGGGCAGCGGTACCATGAGCATGAGCATGAGGAGTGCTGTGAACATGAACATGGGAAGCATGAACATGAGCACGAGCACGAGAGCGTGCACAGCAAAGACGACTGACACATGACGTTACGTATGACAGGTGCGGTAGTGCGAGAGAGAGATGGAAATTTAACCATTACGAGGGGTTTTTCTTTTCCTACCGAGTATTTATTTATAATAACCCAATTCCCGATCCTTTTTTTATTTTTTTATGAATAACAAAGTGAGCTGGTATCTATTGTACAGTAATGTTGATCATGAACACATTCAAACATAATATCCCCTCTATGGGGCATCTTAAGCGCTGGCCTGGACAACTCTGAACCCTGCAGTGAGGGTTTTTGCGATTTCCTCGTTCTTATGCGGGAGGAGTGATAGTGCGTAGGCAACGTCGTTCCACTGTCTCTCAGTATCACATCGTGGCAATCTAGCAGCAAGCTTATCCGCCAATTGCTTAGCGTGTTTGTCCTTTTCAATGAAAGTCGCCAGGAACTTGATGATCTTCTTGAAGGCCTCTTCGCTGAGATCTTTTTCGGCCGAAAGTAATGAGAACATGTCCACAAAGTGATTGTAGACTGCGTTATCTTTCGTCGCCAATTCGCTAAAGAACATTTTAGAAAGGTCTGCAATGCGCTTATCTGAGTCCTCGAGGCATTTGGCCATTTCACCAAGCTGGCCTTTGACTTTGACTTGGCCGGCTAGAATTAAAAAGGTTAATGTCATTAGGCACGTCCTCTTGACGGAGGCATCACGGTCCCTCAAACGGCGGTAGAGGAAATCCGTGTTTTCGTCGATCAGATGGTTGAAGCAAACTGCCATGTCTCCGAGTGCTATCACTGCGTTACTACGAGTGATAGGGTCTACAGAGTACTCCATGACAGTGATCAACAGCGGCAAGTTGGACTCGCAGTATTCAGCTAGAAAATATCCTATAAGCAAGCGGTCCACTCAGGCATAGGATGACACCATTCACATACATGACACACACATCAACTTCGCCATGCAAAGGGCGCTCTGCGTTTGGAGAGTCCGATCCTTTTGGACATCAGCGTTGGGTATCAGAGAAAGTCAGAGAAAGGCAGTACAAACCTTATAGGATATGTTATTAGCACAAATTTCCGCGCAGAGAGGACCAAAGTTTGACAAAATTGACTTTTCGCCATATAGAAGTTCGCGCTCTCTGATTATGCCCATGGCCTCAGTGAAATCGTCCTCAGTAGTGCCCCCAATGAGGTCGAGGTCATCAGGCTCCTCTCCTCCTTTCTTCTGCGGTGACGCCTCTTTACCTGCGTCTGGGTTAGAATACGAATCATCATACAAGAGTGTTGTATTACTTTTTTCAGCTTCTCCTTTCCGACGTTTGAATTCTAGTTCAATGAGCTCCAGATGGACGATCTGTTTGACTATGTTGAGAATTAGAGTGCCGCTTCAATCCGGGTCTAGAACGGGCCTTACCAGCAACATGACCGACGATAAACAGTAGCTGAGATAAAGGAAACGAAGACCCCCCTTTCTTCGGCCCTTCTTGTTCGTGAATAGCAGCAGGCGTCTGCGCAGGAGGTGATGATGGCGCCTCATCTATGTCCATCATATCTACATCTTCGTCCGCAGGAGCTGGTTCTGGTTCTGGTTCTGGCTCGGGCCCAGAATTTTCCTGTTGGCTGAAAACAACCTTTGTTTTGCGCCGTATCACCTCTGTACAGAGCACATCAGGGTGTTTAGATAATGCATATATAGCACTGATGGCCTGCTCCGCAACTCCAAACCTGAAAGCTGCTGTTAACTCAGCGCCAAATTTTTTGGAGGGAACCGCATACCATTCCTGACTCTCTGTTTGAAGCTCTACAAGGGCTGCCAATCTAACCAGGATAGCATGATCATTTGTAAGTTTTGTCATAGCTGTGTGAGTGTCTTTATAGATTAGGAAGGCAATCAGCACGCATCAATTTCACTCAAAACACACACCCTGAGTTCATACCTTTAGTCTTTCGTCCACTTGGGCTAATATGTCTAAGCGCAGCACAGCTGTATCTAGCCAATACTAAATCGGATCTCCCTAGAGGCCCTAGCCCGGTCCTCAAGATAGTCTCTAGTTGCCTAACAACTATATCTGGATCCGCAAGCGAAAGCATGCCCAATACGGCAATGGACCCCCGGCGCTGCTTCTTGGATATGCTGCGATTCTGTACCCCATAGATTTGCCATAGCTTGTGGATCACAAGATCGGAAACATGCCCCTCCTTCATCATTCTACTCAACAACTGTTCAAGCGATGTCAGTTCAGCGGGAGTAACATCTCCCTGCGTAAGAGAGATCATATTCCGCGCGATATATGTAGCGGCCTCGTTCGCATTGAACCCGTGGGGAGCATCAAAGAAGAGTGCCTTGTAGATATCAATAAGGTGAGATTGTATGCCTTTCCCCTCATCACTGTTTCCCTTAGTCCATATTAGTCGCAGCATTCTGCGAATCCCATCCTATACCCGAAAGACAGTTAGCATATCCATCCCAGAAAGGATGTAAGTCAAGTGGAGAGTGTAAACCAACATTTGCTTTCTCCACTTTATAAGTGTGAAGAACCTTGAAAAAGTCCATTGCCTCCACAACTTCACTCTTATTCTTGGAAGACAGAAGCTGGCAAACATGCTCAGATGCATCATGTATTACTTCGATGAATCGAACGGCTTCAATGTAATAGCGTCTTGTAAGATTGAGTCGTATAATCTCATCCGAATTGCCAACCTCGGGGACCTCCGGGGGAGGTGGTGGTGGAGGAGATTTCCTAGGTTCCTCCCCCTCCGCTCCCTCCTCGCCCTCAATCATCGTTTCTTCATCGTATAAGTTAGACTCAGCTATCTCGTTTACCGCTCCCTGGTCTACAGGAGGGTTCTCAATCGCAGGTTTCAATGCATCAAGATTCGCAGTGGCAACTTGCAGCCCGGTCTTCCAGAGTGTGAGTGTAAGGATACCCCCATGATGGAGGCTGTAGGGATGGGCTGTGATCAATTTGGTCAAGAGTTTGATAGCATTCCTTCGGACGTTGCTGCTCTTATCTTCTAGGCTCCTTACAGCTAGGTTTGCTACCTTTTGTCGCCGTTTGTTGAATTTCTTTTCGAGCCTATGCCCAATTAGTACCGTGATCAATAGATGCATATGGAGGGAGCTGAGCATACTCGAGGACTTTGTTGGTGTAAACCTGAATGGCTTTACAACGGCAGTAGGGGTTAACATCCAAGAATCGCTCTTCTAGTACATCGAAGAAGGCCTCCATTTGGGCTTTGTTACTGTCACCCCTCTCGTCTTCCTCCTTGGCTAGATCGACGATAAGGTTTCCACAAACATCTATAACAGCACAGCGAAGATTGTACGACTAACAGGGCAGGGCCAGAGCTCTAAATCAGTAAACTTTTCCAATCACCGCAGGGAAGAAATTGATTACCTCGCTGTCAAGTAGTTTAATAAGGAGAGTCATTTGCTTAATGACAAGTCGTGGAGCCAGCTCTGACAGCTTTGTAATGAATCCTGATACAGACTTTGGGCCTTTTGTGTCGTTGCTATTAAACTCCTTATTGCTCAACTCTCTTAAAATCTCATCCACTAACTGTGGATAATCGTACTGCTCCGAAAGGATTTGCAGGAATTCCGCCATGGGCTCCGATAGGTGCTCGAAGTAGGTGAGATTTTGAACAATAGAGGTTTGTGCACCTGTAAATCCGAAAATTAGATGCTGTTCTCAGTGACGGCCACCCTCATCCAAAAGACATAGCTCTTACCAAATGCGTGCCCATGGTGCTTCACAGCGATACACAAAACCTTGAATAAATGCATTCTGACATTTGTAATTTTCACCCGCTGCTCGCTCTCAAGAACAATGTAAACAGGCTTTGTGAATAAACTAACAAACGTATCCCTCTCTGATGTGGTAACAAACACCCGTATCAGCTTCAGTTTCAGAACTTTGCACATCGTCTCCAGAGCCACGATAAGATGTGTTGTAGAATCCCAAGAGCCGCTAACGGCCGCCGCTTTCCCTTTCCCCTTGCCCTTTCGTCCAACAGGGGCAGCAGTGGTAGCCTTGTCCGCTGCACGGCTTTCCAGTGCAGTAACCGCCCACCGGAGAAGGAATCCATACATCTCGAGGAGCTCTCTGTGGTCCTTAAGGGTGTCCTGCTCTTCGCCTTCGATGTCCTGGTTCACAATGTCTGCCTCTGCGGAGAGACCAGAAGCGATCAGGTCGAGGACCTTACCGATAGCTTGTGTAGGAATTGTATGGAAATACCTATCGTATTTTCTTCGTTAGTGCCCCCTCCGGGGGTGGGGCGGGGAGGGTGGAGTGACGTACTTCAGGAGACATTGTAGGGAATCAAAGTTTGACGGACGAGCGATGGCATCCGGATTAATCGCAATGGAATCAATTATAGGCTCAAGTATTCGATTTATATGGGCATTGGAGAGCGCTTCCGGCTCAGACTCCGCGTCCAACAGTTCTGAGTCGGCGTCGGTGCATGGCACACTGTTTGGGTTGTCATTATAGTATTTTAGCGATTCGTTCAAATCGAAGCTGACTCGTTCGCCGTCGTCCATGGTGGACCAGTATCGGGATTATGGATTGCTGTTTAATGACCTTGGTAATTGTTGCTTGATTCGGACAAAGGGGATTGGGGTTGGAGAGCTGATTTTTCCGTGTGTTGTTCAGGTGGGGATAAGGTATGATATTATCGTTGCTGTTGCTGTCGTTGCTGTTGTTTGTTGACAAATTCCAGGGGGACGTGGGGTTGCGGGGTCTTGGGCATGAAGTCCCGTGATCGCTTGTTTTTGTTTTCCTCCTTTTTTCGAGTGTAACAGGCGAAGGGCTACAATTTATTGTATGGATTCGGCCATTCGCTTTGTAGGAAGCTTGAACCTCTGAATATGGCACTTTATCATAATACCCTCGAAAGGCTTCTCAGTATATGATACAAGTTTGCCCCTTCAAAGTATATACGGCAGCATATATCATACAATGTCATAGAAACAACTAAAGCATGATATTTGCACCAGTGGTGGCAAGCATGTCCAATTGCTCGCCACAGGCCGAGCAAATGAAGCTAGCGTCTATCTTAATATTTATTTACTCGAGTATTTGCTGATTCGACTTGGCTGTCAAAATTTAACATTCGAGAACCCACCCCCCCGACCAGCACCACCAACCCAAGGACTCAAACCCACGATACCACTCCCGAAACCACCAATTCTTGTTTTTCCCCTAAACAATCCTCCATCTACCCTAATTTAAACGCAAAATCTCCCGGACTGTTTGTTTATATCATAGGTTGCTATACAAGCACCTTGCTCACAACCTTTATCCACGCGCCCATTTCAATAGCCTATTAAAACTTCCACCCACGCGTCCACCTTTTAAAACCCTCTATCATGCCCCCTTCACAGCACACCCACTCGGTACACGGCTCTCGTACTCATGCACCTGCCAGATACATGGATGTTCAAATGATGCATGCTTCTCACCTATTCGACAGCAACAACAACAGTATGCCGCCTAGCAAACAGGCCGTATCCGCAACCACCGAGGCCGGTACCAGCACTAACCCAGACAACGAATGCACCAGCGGTGAGAGTGAACAGGGCGATGAGGATGGTACTGTGGAATTGAAGGAGCCTTCGGGGGCTGGGAGAGGGGACCATAATGAAGAATATGGCGAGGGAGCAGAGGACGAGGAAGTGGATGAAACAGAAATGGCCGAAGGGTATGGAGCTGAGCTGGACATGACTGGGGATGAGATTGACGAAGATATGACCGGCGAGGAGTCGGACGGTGAAGATGAGTATGACAGGAGGGAGAGGCCTGCTAGGGACAAGCGCAGGGAGGCAAATTATCGTAGGAAGCGCGAGCAGGAAATGGTAGAAGAGGGGGCCAGCGATCAGGAGGATGTCGAAGGTGAAGAAGATGCTCAGTCGGTTTCTTCGAATGCTTCTTCAGAGGAAGAGAATAGCGACGACCCGGACAGGATTGACCCCGCAATTTCTGAAGAAATGGAGAGATTTGCTCATACATTCAAGGGATTCGAGAAGCGTTACCGTTTGGTAAATAAGATTGGTGAAGGTAGAACCCAAAGGCATGCTATCATATATTAGAGAGCTGCCGCTAACTTTGGTTGTAGGTACTTTTAGCTCGGTATATAAAGCCGAGGATTTACTATACGATCACTACGATAACAGTTGGGATATTGATTATAAAGATGAAGCGAGATGGGCAGCACCGCCGTCAAAGAAGCGACGAACAGGGCGCGGGAACAATGATATTGAGCCTGTTCGCCCAAAATATGTTGCAATCAAGAAGATTTATGTTACCAGCTCTCCCACTCGGATCCAGAACGAGTTGGAATTACTGCATGATCTCTCCGGGTGCGATAGTGTCGTGCCGCTAATTACGGCATTCCGCTACCAAGACCAGGTTGTAGCAGTGCTTCCGTATTTTAAACATGTTGATTTCCGGGTAGGTTTCTCTACGATTGGGCTATAATATCATGTGCTGGGACTGACGCAGTTTGGTCGTACAGGAATATTTTAGAGAGTTGACGATCCCTCACATCCGATCTTACTTCAAGTCCTTGTTCAGGGCACTCGCTCACGTGCATGCCAATGGCATAATCCACCGTGATATAAAGCCAACGTATGGTCATTAGTGGTGTTCAAGCTGCGGTCAGGTTACTGATATTGGAAGCTAGTAACTTTTTGTACGATTACCGTTATGGTAGAGGTGTTCTCGTGGATTTTGGCCTTGCAGAGGCATGCTATTTCCTGCCGCCTTTACAATACTTTATGTACTAATGTTTATATCTGGAAACATAGCGGGAAGGAACAGACTCACAATATTGCATGTGCCAACATTCCACAACCGATCGAAAGGACCACCGACCACCCACATTAACCCCTTCTATTGGCTACCCAAAGCATGAAACAAGGTTTGTCCTGGAAGATTCCGGCTCTTAGAACGATGCCTGGTCTAACAATAGCAACAAAAGACCATCTAGAAGAGCGAACCGTGCCGGTACGAGAGGCTTCAGAGCACCAGAAGTGCTCTTCAAATGCACCAATCAAACCACAAGTTAGTTTCGCCCAATTTTTTCGGAAATGTGGTAAGAGCTGACATTATGGAAGAAATTGATATATGGTCTGCCGGCGTAATCCTGCTCACAATCCTCTCCCGCCGCTTCCCCTTCTTCAACTCCTCAGATGACGTCGACGCCATGATTGAGATAGCGACTATCTTCGGTAAGCAGAGAATGAAGCAATGCGCAGCCCTCCACGGTAAGCCCCTCCGCTCAAGCTCCTACAATTGCTAACAAACCCAGGTTGCTTCTTCGAATCCACCATCCCAACAATCGGTGAGCGCGGCTTCACCCTAGAAAAGATTGTCCTATGGGCAACAAACCGCACAGCAACCGGTTCCTCAAAGGATAACAAAGACGACGCAAAGCTCGACCAAGACGAGGCCCTTGCGATCAAGTTTTTGCAATGCTGCTTCGAGCTGGACCCCGCTAAACGTTCATCCGCAGTTGAAGCACTCCAACATGAGTTTTTGGCTGGTCCTGATTGGGAGTCGCCAGAGCCTAAACGTTAAAAAAAAAAAAGAAGGGGATTTGTTGTCGATACCAGACGGTATCAGAGACCGCGATTGGGAAGATTGTACGATATTCTGGGTCGGGGGTGTATATACGATGTTATGGTTATGTTATAGATACCTTGTGTTGATATAGTTAGATCGGTGCTTCAGTGGTCTCTCCATCCTATTCCTTTTCTAAGTCTTGGTTGGTATCACACGATGGTTGGGATTTGGGGGGAGTGGTAGATTTTCCGCCTTTTTTTTCTTTTTACCTCTTTTTTTTTCACTCTCCTTTTTCACTCTTGCTGCCTCTCACGATAATAATAATACCGAGGCGTGAGGCGATACAATGTATTAATATTGGGTTGGCCGGCTAGCTACGGCGGTAAGATGTGGCACCTTTCCCCGCTAGCGATTTTGACATGGAGAAGCGACGGTTTGCTCCTGATAGCCGGGCATCTATCGTAGCTATTTTTTATTTGTCGGGTACGACAGCCATAAATCAAGCTTTCCAAGAGAAAATATTCCCAAGTTGCGTTATGTTCCCACCGATATCGCACAATAGTCTACACACCGCGCCGCCACACCACCAATCCAGAAACTAATCCCCCCATCTACTTATAACACGAGGGCACGATAGTAGTAACCCCCCCCCGCACAAATCGCAAACACCGTATCAGATCCTCACCACGTCAAGTGCTGTGGTACAGTGTATCATAGTACTCGTACGATACAGTATCGTGCTCCAAAGCACGATAAACTTCAAAATAAGTATTCCCACGAGTGATATTTTGTGACGGCTTATACTCCCCCACCAAGCCGCACGGAACAGCGTATGCAAGCGGTGTGAAAACATCTATACTTGAGAGATTGCATTTTTGTTTTCTTCTAAAAAAAACTATATTTTCTTTTTGCCAGAGTCGTGCGGAAGCTGCGGCCTAGGCTAGGCATGGTGAGTGAAGACTGCAGTATGTGGTGAGTGGGCTAGCTGGACTTGCGGGTTAATGAGTGTTTGGATGTGCTATCGTAGTGATAGGACGTAAAGGGGGGAGGGGGGTTACATTGAGGTGTGCTATGTGTAATGACCTATTCTCGAGTGTATTATTCCCTGCATCGCAACTCTTACAATATAGCGCGGAAATGTCGTGGCAATGCCATTTATTGCGTGTGGCTGATGCTTGATCTGACCCTGTATAAGCGTCGGGTGATGTCTCATGATTGATTCAGCGCTATGATACGATGATACGATAGGGCAAGATTAATTGTAATTGCTTAACCACTCGACACTGGACCCCGCTTAATGGGTTGGATTACAGTACATGCCGTTAACTATACCAAGCATCACATATTGTCGTCGTCTCTCCTCTCATACAGGAAATCTCCTCCAGCACCAGTAGGTAGAAAGAAAAAAAAAAGAAATATCGAGCGAGAAAACAAACAAAAGGCCACAAGCTATCGTGTCACATCGCATCAAGTCATATCATTAGTACACTAGATAACACTACATATATCATACTGTCACATATTAGGTAGAGCAGGACGGGGGCGGAAAGGAAACGAGAGGGGAAGCAGCTCAACAATCAATCACACCACTAACTAATGATAGAAAAGGGCAGTGGGGGGACAGGTAAGGAAAAATTGGGAAGTTGAAATTGAATCTAGCAACTGTCAAAGCTAGTAAGGGCTATCGACAATGGCATGGCGGCTCCTCAACTGTCTAATCGGAGTAGAGATGCTCTCTCTGGTAGGCTTCTTAAACGTTTGACGTCCAACCATGTTGACTTCGTTGGGGAGTGCGACAATCACGTTCTTGTCGCTGCCAAAACGGAAGTTATCAGCCTTGACTTCCTCAGTGTACCTCTTGAGCGTGTATGGATCTTTCCTCCCAGCAATGGCCTTCCTCAGATTCCACGTGACCATGAAAGGGCCGGTGCTAGTGATGATGGCGGTCTCGTCAGAGTCGAGGCCAGTGTTAAACTTGGCAGTGGTAAACGAGAGGGGCTTCTTAGTCTCCGCTTGCATCTGCGCGACATGGGAAGGGTTGAGGCAGAGGCGTCGAGGACGAGGCTTTGCATCTTTTGGGAAAGCCTTCTCGAAGCCGAGTTTTCCTTCACTCTTGCCTTCGTGCTGGAGGGCGTCAATGAGTAGAATGTAGGTTCTACAAGTTGCAAGAATCCACCTGCCATCGGCGGAAACGTCAAGACCAATGATTGCTTCGCCCAGAGCGGGTATATGTGTTTTGGCGTTGATTCCCAAACGATCAAACATACGGATATCACCTTTGCTCGAGGCAACTGCGATATACCCTTTCTCAGTGGTTGCCACAGCTGAGAAATCATTCTTCGAGACATATTGTTTGAGCTCAGAGTCAACAAGCTTATTACCGCTCAGGCGAGGGTCCACTCGATAAAGGGCATTGTGGGACAGTCCTAGGAATGTTTGCTCATTGGTCATTTGAGCAAATTTCTAATGGTTCTGGTTAGCAGCGGACCTCGGGAATGTTGGGGTGTTGGTATTCAGGAGTACATACACTCTCGGGAGCAAAGATGTCAATAGGGATGTCCTCGTGGACTTGCCATTCATCAACCACCTTTCCGTATTCCAAGTCCATCTTATACAGGCTATGCGGGTTGTTCCCATCTTGCATGATTAAACCCGTATCCTCACCGTGCAACATAACCTAAAAATTACATTAGCTTGGTGTCCTTTTTTCCCTTTTCTCAAGTAGTTTACAAACCTTCTTGGGCTCGAATAGTTTCCCCTTCGGAGTTTGGACTTTGCTAATGCTGGTCTGAAACTCCAATTCGTTGTTGGGGGTATGCTTGAAGACACCGATTTTGCTTCCTCTAACGACAAAGCTTCTGTCGTGTTTGTAGCCGACAGCCAATTGGCTATTTTCCTTACCATCGCCCTGTTCTCCTTTAACGTGAGTGTCGTCCTCCTCCTCGTCGGTGTCGTACTCTTCGCTCTGGTTGCCAGGGTGTTCTTCGACGTCCTCAAATTCCTCCTCCTCCTCCTCTTCTGGGGCGTCTTCCATAGTGATGTCCTGGAACGCCTCGAGAACATATTCACGCTCTTGGTCTTTGGCTTTGATCCATTTTTGCTCGTTCAGCTGTTCCCAGAGGGCACGCATCAGACCTTCCTGAAATCTTTCTTCGGTCTCTATATCCTTAAAACGCAGAAGCCAGGAATAGGAGCACTGATTGGTATGATGGTTGAAGATGAAAGAGAGATACTCGAAATTGAAGACAGGGTTGATGTCAGCAATCACGGGCTGACCAAGCCAGACTTTGTTTTCGCCTTCAATATCGAGCCAGTCTATGGATTGGTGTCAGAATCCATCGTTCAAAGTTATTAAAGGGGAATGTACACTGCCATTGCCCAACCTCGCTCACGGTCGCCGTAACCTTTTGCTCCTGCAACACAAAGGTTCCAGTAGAGACATCGAACAAATGCAATTCTGCGGTTTCACGAGTAAGTATCTCCTGACTTTCGGGAGCAGGCATCGCCTTTGGAGCAACAGTGGGCGCCAAGGCCACCAGTCGCTTCCTGCCCTTTTTTACCGGAGCCTCGGGCGCCCTCTTGACTTGGGCAGTGGGTGAAACAGCAGTGGGGGATGCTGAAGGAATCGGAGCATCACTACAGTGTGTGAGTCAATGGTTATAGGATGGATTTGGTGTGATGGGAGGTCTGGTGTCTCACGAGAAAGAGAACTGATGCAATTCCTGCTCGGTAGCCGTTTCATGGCTCCTTTTATACCTTCTCTCGAACTGGCACTGGATAGCTACAAGTTCAAACATATGCGCGGAGCCAGACTGTACACCAGGGTCACAGACAAACTCGTAAAGGTCACCAGGGTCCTTACAGCGAGTTAGTCAATGAGTTGTGTGGGACATCAATAATAGATTAGAGTACTCACACCACTAAGGTCCCTCCATGCAAACACAGCTTGACCATCCCTGATGATGGATCGCAAATGTAGGCTCTCGTCTAACAGGAAAGTTTTCTCATCCTTTGCATCGTCAACGTCCTCAGCATCATCAACAAGCTCTTCCTCGCCTTCTTCGTAAGCTCTCTGGATAACAAGTTGGTAATGGTAATTGGTCGAGGTTCTTCGAATGGTGGCAGCTGCATCCTTAAAGCTGGGTCAATGGTCAGTGTTGGATTTGTGGCTGTGGGATGCTGGTTTTGTCAGCACACTACTTACATGCATTCGCTATAGCCCTTAACAGAGTTTGGGCGGACTATGTAGAGTTGACCTTGATCGAGTTGAATTATATCTTGCTTCGTGGAGTCACCAAATATGTACTTCCCCACACCTCTGAGCATAAACATCTTGAGTGCGTGTAGGTACCGTTAGTCTTCTGCCTTGTTTTTTTCTTTTTTTTGGGGGGGGAGGGGTTTCCCTGTATGGTATAGAGGGTGCGGAGAAGGGAAGAAGAATAACAGGTACAGCTTTTAGTAAAATGTGAGGTTGGAGGGATGGAGAAGTTGTGAAGTGTGAACGGGAGGTTCAGAGATGGAGGAAGGGAGGGGGAAGGGATGGGGGAAGTTGTTTGTGCACAGCAGAGCGCGGTACCGGTATCTTGGTGGGGGGTCCGCAACAATAGGGAGCGCGAGAAATGACGGAGGAGGGGCCCTTTTTTTTCTTTTTTTTTCTTTAGCCTTGTAAGCTAGCCCACAACAAAGATCCAGCAGATTTCGGCTGGATAGGGTGCTCAGTATCGGACTGGTATGAAACCGTAATTGGCCAAGGCACTGCGGGGTGTTGTTTGTGGCGAGTCAAGTGGCAACGCGTTAAAGCAATAGAGTTAGATGGCGGTGCAATGTGACAGTACAAGCATGATACTAGTAGTCGATAAGTAAAGAGGGGCACCTCATGGCAAAGTTATATGGAATTTTCGTTCTCATCCAATAAGATAGAGCATAGAGATTATAGCTGACTGTATATGAATCATATGGATTGTGAACTTCTTTCTTCAGCTGTAGGAGTACTTTGGAGAAAGGTTTGTGCTTTTGTTAGGCGGAGACGATCTGTATAGACTCGGAATTGTCTAGACCAATCAAGATTCATTTTCGTAGATGGAGATTTGTCTAGGAAGGCTCAAATAGATTACCCCTTTCGTTTATGACTACTAAGATTGAAGTGAGAAAGGGTAGAATAAGATCAAATTATGTAGACAATATTATATTGTTAAGGTCTCTTCTCTGTTGCTTGGTAATGTCTAAAAGCTCAGGAGGCATGTCAATATTTATATTCTGCATCTGAGTGTTCGCAGATGACATCTATCTCTTATATAAATTATATACATCTTTAACTATAACTCGTAACATTGGGTATTCATCTGAAGTACAAATACTAGAAAATACTGAAAACCATTATACTCTTTTTGATAATTGCTATGTTGCTAATTAGGAACTACATCATTCCCAATAGTAATTATCTGATCTTTAGAGTTATTAGACTAATAGCCTAGTCCTTAAGTCAAACTGAGTTGGCACCAATTGTCTCCTCTATTGAACAAATAATCAGTTTCATCTGTAGGTTATGTCTGCAGGAATAGTCATAGGAGTAACCTTCTTAGGTTGCTGACTTTGAACTTCCATAACTCCTGATTCAACTAACAGATATCCTTCAGTTGACTTCCTACTAATTCACGGGAAGCCACTCTACCAGATTGGCAGAAAATCTCTTGGTCAGTAATATTGTTAAGTTATGTATGCAATCTTTTTAGGTTACAGACCTTTGAAGCTCAATATCTCCTAATTCAACTAACAGATTTCTACCCAGTAACTTTTCTCATATAGAGGAGAAGCACTTCTATAAGATAAAGTTATAACTCTTCGGTTGGAGGTCCTCAGTTGTCATGCAGGGAGCCTTACAGTTACAAGTAGTATTGGTAGCAAATAACTGAATACTAGAAATAACTATAATGATAGCAGGAGTTGAACACATAATCTTTGGTGAAAAGTCACATGGCATTCCAATTGAGCTATGCAACTAAGATATATATGTACAATGATGTACGGACCCCGTAAGGGGACTGGAGGAGTGTATTAGAGACTAAAGATTCTGATTCCGAGTCATGTTATCCTCCTTAGGATGGTTCCTAGGTATCAGATCCTAGTACTCCTAACAGCTTAAGTCCTCTTTTTTATTTTATTTTATTTCTATTCTGACATAAAACTTATTTACTAACAGTAGTAGTATAACCAATACAGGTACTCAGTTAAGGTTTTATTTTATGTTTTGTTTTAAGTATCGCTCTGATACTTGGTATGTTTTAAGTATCATTTGATACTTGGTTTTGTTTTATGTCTTGTTTTAAGTATTGTTTTGATACTTAGTTTGTTTTAAGTATCGGTTTAATACTTAGTTTGTTTTAAGTATTTGTTTAATAGTTGGTTTTGTTTTATGTTTTGTTTTAAGTATCATTTTGATACTTAGGTTATTTTATCAAAGTGTATCGCTTGATACTTTCGATTAGTTTCATTCATGCTAGACATGAACAGATTTGTATATTTAAGACTACCCTATTTTACGATGGAAAGGGTAGACTTTAAGAGATAGTATTTCAATATACTTAGTTGAAAGATTACTCTTTAGTTTTCCCAGTACATCTTTGAAGCCTCTTTTAGTTCACAGCTCTCACCTTCTCTCTGGTAGAGCAGGCTACCTATTAACTATTGTATCTTATCCTAAAATGTGATTAGCACCTTGCAAACATGTTATACTTATTTCTGATTAGCCTTAACTTATATTTTATTTTAACCCATTAGTACATAGTTCAATCATTCAAGTTTTTCTGAAAGGTATTTAAACAAATAATTAATAGATATATTAAGAGACAGTACCTGACCTGTGCAGCCCATAGGAATTTCACTTGATATAATAATATTGTATATATAAAAAATACTATGTACTTATTTTATTTTATAATTACTAGAGAAGTAGTCAATAGTAAGCAGTATAGATTAATGAGTCAGAACAGGAACAAGCTGTTCATTGAGCCACTTGAGCATACTGCTTAAGTTAGCATGAGTAGTTGAATTAAATTTTACAACAACTCTGTTATTGTATAGTTACTGTTTACTGATAATATTTAATCTAGCATATTACCTCTCTGGAGAAAATAATTAAGAGTATGATATAGACAATCTCATTAACAAATATAGTAAGTTGTATTATTTTCTGTTTTTTATTCCTTTTAGACTTATATAATTAAAGTTAGATACTTTGTTCTCATATTTAAATATAAGATATGTCTCTTTTGATACTTAGACAGAACTTGTTAGGCGGAGACAACCCGATAGACTTCAGAGTTGTCTAGGCCGATCGAGATTCATTTTTATAGACGGAGATTGTCTAGGAAGGCTCGGACTTCACTCGTTTCGTTTATGACTACTAAGAGCGAAGTAAAGTAAAGTAAAATCGTAAGAACAATATTATATTGTTAAGGTCTCTTCTCCGTTGCTTGATGATGTCTAAAGCTTGGGAGGCACTTCGATATTTATATTCTGAGTCTGAGTGTTCGCAGGCTACATCTAACTAACATACAACCATATACCTTTTTCCAATATAACTCGCAACGTCGGGTTTTCTTCCAAGGTGCGAACACCTGGAGACCCTGAAAATCATCACTCCCTCTTTGATAATTATAATATAACTTATTTAGAAGTCATGCTGTTTCCAATAGTAATTATCCGATGGTGAGAGTCTTTTTAGACAATTGGCCCAATTCTCAAGTCGAACTGTGTTGGCTCCAATCGTCTCCCTTGTCAATGAAATGATCAGTTTCGTCTGCGGGTTGCATCTGCGAAGATAGTTGTTATTACCGACTTTCTAGGTCGTCTAACTTCAACTCTTCATAACTCCATACCCAACCGATAGATCTTTTCTGGAGGACTTCCTACTTACCTGCAGGAAGCCTTTCCATAGGGTTGGTAGATAATCCCTCGGTCGGTAACCCTTGGTTACCGTGGGTAATAGGATTCTGGCTACTGTTACCGGTTTGGGAGTCACCCCCCCGGTTGCAGTATGTACCGGAACCTAGTTGTAACACTCCTCGAACTCCATTGGGTTCGATGGTAGTATTCTCAAGAGTTCCAGACTCTTCTGGTTATCGTAGGGTGGATGTGAATGTATTGGTCTTTCATTAAGATCCTTTACTATTCATCATCATCTCTTTGCACGAAAACGTCCTGTTACTTGCGGCCTATGCCAAAGATATTTCGTTCTTGAAGCCTAGTAACTTTCTGGGCAGTTGACGGATTCACTCCGTTATACTTCTCAGACCTAGCCGAAGGTCCCCTCTTATATATCCTGCGAACAGGATCCGGTCGGACGGACGGCGGCGACGTATACAGTGTTATTTTAATACCTTCGATTCTGTGGTATAATACTCACAGGACGCAACTTAGATTGATATGTATGATGATGCGCGGGCCCCGTGAGGGGGCCGGAGGGGGGTGTTGGAGACCTGAGATTTCGATTTCGGGAGAGGTTACCCTACCTAGGGTGGTTCCTAGGTATCGGATCTCGGTATTCCTAACAGAACTGGAATGAGATATATGTTAAAGATATTTTGCAACACATATCAATGAACCTGATATTATCTTATATCATACCTGCCAACCTTCTCTTAACAGTACTGAGAATTGTAGAAATCAAATAGCAATCAGCTAAGTATTGATTCTATGAAATTTCTTAGAAGTAGGCTTACCTCATTAGTTATAAAATGCAGACTAATCAAATGTAATTCTAGGTATACTCAAAACTACAGTCACGCGGCAGAAGTGTTCATGATCTGAGACAATGTTTAATTATGGTTATGCCATATGGTGGAGCAGTGCCCGTAGGGTTGTCAACGGGCGTGCGCGCTTGGGAGTTCACGATCAACAACCACTGGTACCTCTCAACATTCAACGGTCAATTGACCTGCCATAAATTAAACTAGCTAATATTTTGTATAACCTCCCCTTGTTTCTAAAACTGCAGCCATCCTATCAGGTATTGATTTCCACAACTTCTCAACAAACTCCTTAGGAATTGTCTCCCAAACCAATGGTAATACATGTGCAAGTCTTCTCCTAACAGCCTCTTTTCCTCCTAGAGTATCTGCAATTTTTGGATACTGCTAGTGCAATCTCTTTTTAAGCTCAACCCATACATGCTTAATAGAATTTAAATTAGGAGAATAAGGAGGGTAGTCCACAACCTCAATACTGTTTCTCTCCAACCAATCCATAACACTATATGCCTTGTGAACAGGAGTATTATCTTGCTGAAAAAGAACAATCTTCAAGTTGTATACCAAAGGAAATTATTTGATGAATAACAGGAAAAAGATATCTTCTTAAAAGTCTAACATACCTGGTCTTATTGATAGTTTGAGTAATAGGAACTAATGGATTTTTTCTTTTACTCCAAAAGTACCCCCAAATTATAAGTGAGATTCTCTTATCCTTCTTCTTTGTGTGTACACAATCAGCCAACCACTTCTCTGCAGGTTCTCTGAATACCCATTGTTGCTTTAGATACTTGGATTTCTCCACACTGCACTCATTACTCCAAATCACCCTTTTAAAATCCTCTCCTGTCTAGTTCCTATGAGCTGTAGCCCATCTCAACCTCTTAGCCACATAATCAGGCTTAGCCTTGGTCTTGACTTGGCTATCCATTTTTTAATGTTTGCTTCTCTGAGTACCCGGTCCACTATACAGGCAAATTTAGTAGGCAATCATATCCAGTCACTCTGGGTAGCACAAAGAGTTACCAGTATCAAGAGAAACACTGGATGTATAGTGATCCCAAAAGGTGTATCTGGTCATTTTTTGGTTGGACTTGGCTGCCTGTATAATTGTGCGACGCTGTTAACCACTCAATATAGGGGTATGACTGGGGTGAGGGAGATTTTCAAGAGATTAGTGTTCACATGCCCTGACAAGCAAGCTCTTAACTGTTGTCCATGGGCGTCCAATAATTTGAGCCACCAAAGCAATGTTCTGAAGGCAGTAGAAAAAGGTAATTATCATGCCCTTCTCTGCAAGGCTCATTTCTCTCCAGGTGGTTTTAAGTGGGGGTCATTTTTTTTGCGGCATACTTTGTATTTCCAGAATGCTTAACCATTGGTAAAAAAGGTAGAGAAAATTAACAAATTAATTAATTAGGTAGAGAAGGCTTCGGTGGGTGTAGATTTGTGAATGGTTACAGTCACGATGGGGTGAACAGTCACGATCAACTTTACACTTCATTGAAAGGTGGCATTTTGACGAGGCAGCTTAGTCATCTGAGATCAGTTTCACAAACACTTCTGCCGAGTGACTGTAGTTATTGGAGAATTTAAACTACTTTGAGTCATAAGTAGGACTAATAGCTTTACTAAAGTCTACCCTCTCTTTCTATTTCAGCCTAGAACTTATCTGCTTGAGATAGGATGAGATTTGGCTATATTTAGGTCTTTCTACATAGATGAGGTATTATTTTTTACTTTATAATATTTTCAAATGTTTCTGATTTCTCATAATTTTTTTATAGTAAAAAATAGTCTTCAAGACACTGATCTCTACCTCTTTGTATCTTGTATATTATTTTAAATTTATAGTACTCCATTTGATTATTAAAGTTATTATATAGTACTACTTACAAGTTATAAATGTAGCATATGTAAAGCAAAACCAAGTTAGAGAGAACAACTTGATTTTGCAATATAGTAGCTTCTGCTATTAAGATTTAGAAGATATTTAGTAAATATTATTGGGATTTGAAATTATGATTTACAACTAAATCATGGTTTGAGGTTACAGAGTATTTAGCAATGTGAGTTGAAAGTGTAATTTAATCTAGGATTTGTAAATGTGATTTGGATGATTGACATCTAGGACCACATATACATTAACAATTTAGACAAATTAAGTTTTTTTTTTGTTTATCTGGAGAAATGGTAAATGGTTATGGAGATGAAGTGAAATTATGGTTGCTTTAAAGATAAAGAATAATAAAAAAAGCTGATCAGTAATGAGAAGGTAATTAGAATAAAAAGTCCAAAATCCTTCTTCACTCATATGGACTGTTAAAATAATATCTTAGATACCATTAATTTATAATTATTATTTAATCTCTCTATATCCTCATTTAAAATATATTGTACATTAACAAAATTAACTGTGATTTAACAATCTGTGGCAATCTACTCCTCTTCATTATCCTATACTCTCAACAGTACCTAAAAAAATTGCTCTAAGTCAACCAAGAAGAAACCATTCTGCTCAATTTTTTTTTCAATAAACTATGCCTCCTATTTTTCCCAGTCATGCCAAAAAACCTATTCCCTCCACACATCTCTCTGAGTTTACCAGGAGGAGGATTCTCAAGTTACATGAGCTTCAGATGAGATATCATCAAATTTCCCACTACCTTAATATCTCCTAAACTACTGTCAGAGATACAATTACAAAGGGACATCAAAAGGGCAAGGAGAATAAGGATAGAGGAAGGCATCCTAAAACTACCAAGTTACAGGATGATGCTATGGTGGAGGAAGCTCTTAAAAATTGCCATACTACCTCTTTTGACATTACTGAGCAAGTTGCCCCTAATGTTTCTTGTAGGACAATAAAGAGAACACTTGAAAAAAAGCATCTTAGAAAGTGGATAGCACAAGAGAAAGATTATTTGGATGAGAATCTAGCTCAAGAGAGGTTGGAATAGGCATTAGCACATAGTCATTGGACAAATGAGATGTGGAGAAGGAAGGCAATGTGGGGAGGATGAGGTAGCTGTAGAAAGGGAAGGAGGAAAGAGGAGAAAATGGGTTTTCAGATACCCATATGAGAAATAAAATAAGGATTGTGTTGAACCTATTGCTAGGAGAGGGGAGAGAGGGATTAGCCAGATGATGACTGATTATTTTTATAGTCAAACTTATAGTCTTTTTTTGTCTGTTTTTCCTGATCCTTCTTCTACTAGGGGTGGAGTTACTGGGAAGTCAATTATTGATGTTTATGATCACTATGACTTTCTAGGGATATGGGCATATCAGAGAAAAAGCTGGAGAAGAAGAGGTATTTTTTATCATTGACAATGCTAAGACTCACTTGCTTTTTAGGAGATGGCTTAGAGGGCAGGGAATTACTCTGATGGAAATTCCTGCCTATTCACCAGATCTCAATACAGTTGAAAATATTGGGTCTCTGGTGAAAGGTAAGCTTCACAAGCACTACCCTGAGCTATATCTTATAAAGGGTGATGTCAATGTAGTCAAGAAGGCAATAGTAGAGGCCATCAGTTGTTGTTGGGAACTTCTTGACTCAAAGGTTTTTGATATTTTAGCTGGATCAATGGTGGATACAATAGAGGCAATTATTAAGGCTGATGGATGGTATACCAAATATTAATTTCTACTATGTATTTACATCTTTTAATTTTTTTTTTTTTGGTTTTCATGACAGTAGATTGGTAGATGAGTGTGGTTGTCATCACCGAAGATTTTCCTCTGTTGAATCGCAGTTAATTTTGTCCACCCACAATAATATATTATATATTAAAAATACAAAAGTGATATACTAATAACATTATAAAAAACCTTATCATGTGAAATCATGATTCAGCCAAGAGGTGTTTGGCAGCATGTGTTTTCAAATCGCGATTTTGGGAAATCATGATTTCAGCACGCCTAAATGAGCCACCAGGAAGTCAAAACTGTGGGTTCCCGGTACTATCCCGACTCTCGACCGGGACTGGGGGGCTTCAAGCCAGTCTCTTCACAGATTGGTTTACGGGTACGGTGCGAATAGTCTACCGTTAGCCACAGCACAAGGGCGGTATCGGTACACTAAACTCGAGTACTCGTACAGGTATCTTAGGCTAGACAAGTCACTCCGATTTAGCACCACCTTTCTACACCTTAACTCACCAATAAGGATCATCCATTGTAGGGATTAAGACGAGATACCGCTATGTACCAGTGCTGTGATCCACGGTGCTCTTGTACCGGTACTCATACGGTACTCAAGTGCAGTGCTCGAATAACGGTAATCGGGGCAGCTGCGTGTTTCTGCGCTATACCCTTGCAGCATGGTAGACCCGAACAGATGTTGATTGGTTGGTTCACTGGTGGGAAAATCGACAGCTGATCCCCACAGTGGAGATTCCACCCTTCGTCGGGCTTGCCACAGCAAAGCCTTCCATCCCGGGCTGCGATTCAGTTGTCCGAGTGAGGGGGATTCCCGGGTGGCTTATGCTTTCGTCTACCCAGGCCTCAGCACTCGAGAATCGGATCGCACTGGTGTTGGGGTGTACGAGTATAATTTAAGGAAGCAACTATTGTACCAGCACAGGTACTGGTGGTGTACCGCTACTGTGAGTAAAATTGAACAGTTGGAAATCGAATACGCCGCAGTTCCCTGTATAAGTTGATGCCTCATTCGAGTTGGTAGACTATGCTCGAGTATAGAGTAGTATGAGGGCGCACAGTACCGGTACCGCTACCGGTATTCTACCGAGGAGATTGGCTCAACGTGGTACAGTACTCGTGCGGTGGATGGAATAACATGCGTTGACATCTCCCACATCAATCGAGAGGATGCCATCCGCCATCCCCCGTCAGATCCACCAGATATCATACCGGTGTCTATAACACCAGAATTAGTCATCTAACCATAGAGTCGACAGCATTCGTTGATCAAAGGAGCCGCATCTACTGCTCCCTACCATATGATGCCATAGCGAGCCTAGTATGCAAGTGCCGCATAGAAACTACAGCAAGGTACCGGTACTCGAGAGCATTGAGAGCTCGCGTTGCTGTGCCTGACAGCGGGGAAAAAGTAGTTACTCTACCCGTCAAGTTACCGGTGCCCTCAAGGATTCCCCCCGCCGTTCCCCTCCTCCGCGCCTTCTCCGCGCCTTCTTGACTCACCGATTCCAACTACCTGAGTAAAAAACCTCCGCCTTTCTTCACACCACCCCCACTGCCCGCTTCATAAACTTGTGCCTGCTTTCTCACCATTCACCCATTCACGTCTGCTCGCTCCTCCTAGCTTTGGCTGACCGAGCGTACTATTTTGACCGACTTCGCGTTGTTACCTGTTCTCCCAAACCCCCCCCCCCTCTTTCTCTTCCTTGCTCGGCCTTCCTTCCTTTTATCTACCTCTCTCTCCACCGTAGTGTTCCACCGCTTTCCTACTCCTCAAAAAATATATCTCCTCTCTCTCATCGCTTTAATTACTATCCTGTTGCTTTACCGAAAACACTCAGGTTCTGTCAAGGGATAGAGGGGAGAAAAGAAAGAAGAGGGTTTTTTTTTTTCGCAAATACCAAAAAAAAGAAAAGAAGTGAACTAGCTCTTGCATCTTCCAGATTTGTCTCCTGAACGGGGATCAGCCAAAAGAAAAAGATCCCAGCACCACTAATACCGATATCCCTTCGTATCCCTCGATAGATTTCCGCAAACCTACCTCTCCGTTTCGTGTCCAAGAGATATCATGAATGGAGGAGGAGTGCCTGGTGATGCCGTAGGCTCGCCTACGACGAACGGTGGTGGACCTGCAAACGGTCGAGCGCTACAACAGCCACAACCACTGGACCAGATCAAACAAGCCCTTCAAATAGTCTATGATCCCCACTCCTCTAACGATTCTCGAAAGCAAGCTGGCGCATTTCTCGAATCTGCAAAGAGTGACAAGGAGGCACCATACCATGGCTTTACCCTCGCTTGCGACAGGGGTCATGATGCCGTTGTGAGGCATTTCGGATTGTTGCTACTAGAGCAGGCTGTCCGATTCTCCTGGGTTGACTACACTGCGGAGGAGAGCGGCATGGTTCGAGGCTGGGTTTTAAGCCTGGCAGAGAATGTCAAGATCGATGGAAGGGATCCGGTATACCTACGGAATAAAATTGCCCAGCTTTGGGTCGAAGTTGCGAAGAGATCATGGGCTAGCGAGTGGTTGGACATGGATGAGCTTTTGGTAAGGCTCTGGGACAACTCTACACAGCAAGGTAATCCAGCCCAGAGAGACCTGGTGCTCTCAATATTGGAGAATCTGGTGGAGGATGTTTTCAACAGGGAGGACTCGGTAGCCGGAATCAGAAATACGCCGCTAAGCAAAGCTTGTATCGACATATTTACTCCATTGGATGTGCTGAAGGAGAATTTCCCGGGTCGAGAACCAAGTGCTGTGCTGAGGTGCGGTGAAGGCGGTTGGTTAACAAGGCTGACCGAGATGCTGGAGAAATGCTTGGAGGCTGGTGTGAATGGTAATACAGAGGTGGAGGCTTGTGCGGTCAAGGTCTTAGGAACGTTGAAAGCATGCATGAGTTGGGCTATTCCAAAGTAAGCGTTGTTTGATCATGATGCTTCGCCATTACCCTAATATCAGGCTGGGCGCGTTGTGCTAATCCATTAATTCAGGGCCATCGCTGCAGCAAAGATAGTGGAGACAGTTGGGCGTGCTTTGATGGTGGAGAAAATATCGGTCCAAATGGTATTTCTTTATTCTCTCTCGGAAACATCTTCGATATACTTAGGTTTTGACCAAAGGGCTAAAGCTGATGATCTAGGTCGCTGTAGAGTGTTTGCACACGCTATTTACGAGAATATTCTTTGAGGATGATGATTTTCAAAAAATTGTTTGCCCAATGTACTATTCTCAAACGGTGGAGCTGTTGGCAAATATTTTCGATTGGATACGAGTCGATGCAACCGACATTGATGAAGAGCGCTACCTTTTCTTGAAGCGATACGCTGAGGTGAGCACGACCCCCGCCCGTTATCATGAGAGATAGGAGGCTAACCCATTGACCCGAAACTTAGATGATTGCCAACCTCGGTGGATTTGTAGAGGAAAAGTCAGGTTTAATGCCGGTAGAGGCTGACCTCGTTGGCTTCATGAAGTTGCTCTTCCAAATCTGTAGTCATGACAGCTTGTCCGTTTCAATCCCAGTCATGAATGCCTGGACTCGGATTATTCGTAAAGATCTATTGAGTGGCCATGAGGCAATTGGTCCTTTAATTCCAGGCTTGATAGCGCTCGCTACCGCAAGGCTGATTAGGGTAATAGTTTTTCATCTTTATGTGACTGAAATTTTTTTTTTTCGTATATTTTTCGGTAGATAACTAATACGGTCTTGACTTAGTACGAGTCTGTAACTGATGAATCGAATCGGAGCATTATTTTCTTGAACGAAGATCTCGATACCATGCCCGACCGACACGCTTTTCTCGGTAACTATCGGCGGTTCTGCCAGAGCATTGTAGAGTGCCTGGTTCGAAAGAGTCCATTCGACATTTTCCCGTACATTCTCGCACAAGCGGATGCCTCTCTATCTGACCTTTGTTCTAAGGAGCCACCGTTTACGGGTAGGTTCTATTGGAGAATGATACACCTATTCCAGATACTGACATTGAATGGCGGAATCTAGCGGAAACATACCGGAAGAATTCTGGCCCATTCCTACAACTGGATGCACATTTTACAGTTGTGGAGGCTTCGTTGAGAGGGTACATGAAATGGATTGATACCATTGGCAAGAACCCAACAGTTAACCAAACGAATGTAATTTCCCCAGGAAACTTATTTTCACTTCTAATCTGACATTTCCAATCTCGTTGCAGAATAACAATAGCCGTAATGAACTTGAGCAGCGTTTGACCGAGTGGTGCGAACGAGTCCTCAGCATGAACTTTGGTGACCCCATGATCCGGAGGAGAGTTATTCAGTTGATGGTTACCGTTTCCACGTCGGCCTTGGATAAGAAGGCCGACTTGATGTTAAAGATTTTGGAGCATGTATGCCTTCATAACTTACATGGCTTTTAACTGCCCCTCCGAGCTTGACAATGTACTGATTTTAATGCAGGTTCTGTTGACCAGGCCCCCGGAATACCCAGCGAATCACGCCTACACTGATGCGGTCAAGGAACTGATGGGTGTTTGCACAACCGAGATACAGCGACTAGCAATGAAGATGCCTGATCATTTGATGCTAGTGTACGAGGGCTTACAAACAAAGATCAATGAGATTATCTCTACGGAGAATGTAGATGACCGGACTCGGATTGCGTTCCATACCTTTTTATTTACTATCAAGTAGGCGACCCTCGGCTAAACCCCCTTTCTGATAGCTTGACTAAAGATAGCTGATTTTGTGTATTAGCCACCGGACGAAGAATATCGACCCCGCGATACGACAGTCTAGGCTTGAGAGCTATATCCATCCAGTTCGTGAAACATGGAGGGACCCTGGTCTCACCGAGTCACTACAAACATTCCAAGGCTTTTGTACAATCTTGGGTCTCGACAAAGTCCAAGAATACCTTATCTCGAGAAGAGTGAACGAAATCCCGGATTTTACGAAACACGTGCTAGATACCGAGGGCCAGGCTTTACAAAACGAATTGGCGGAGAAATTCAAGGTGGGCTTCTCAAGGATTATCAGGATTATCAGGAGGTGGCTAATTCGCTCTCTGTAGGCCTTGCCGATAAGGGCTACAAAGGCGTTCCTCGCAGTTTCTACTGAACAGCTGCGGAAGCCCTCGAATGCCTATAACATTGCGTGCGCGCTTTGGCATGAATCAATACCCATGATTTTGCCCAATCTCCTGCAATTTTTAACGTAATTCCACATTCCAAGATGTTAATGTGAAATGAAGTATCCTAATTTGGTCTTGGTAGTCACGCGCATGCATTTCATAACGCGGGGAATTGGGCAGGGCTCCAACCGGAACTCCAGGCGGTTATACGCAAAATTTTGACTGATAGGTTCTGGCAAGCTGGGATATCTACTGGGAGTAGGGACGAATTCTATGAAAATGTGACGAAAACAAAGACCACGATGGAAGGGCTCGCTTCGTCAATAAGGGGTGCAATCAGGATGGTGCGCGAGGCTTGTTATTCCATACTCTGGTGCATGTCAAGGTTGGACGTTCATTTTTACGGTCTCAACGAGCTTCCGGGGCCGCTTGCGCTGGCACTTTTCGCAGATGCCCATGCGCTCAGTTCGCATCAAATGTCAATCTTGTTAAACATGACCAGATACATCATTGATGACTGCCCAACCACCCTCAGGGCGCATTTTCTGACTCCTCTTCTCGCTAGTTTGTTTACGCAGGTGGATCGCAAGATTAGTGGCGAATGGGATGAACTTATTAGGAAGGGGCAAATTTCTCTGGGGGAAGACAAGCTTGCGGAAGAAATGAAGGAAGAGAGCATATTGAGACAGCTTACATATACTGCTGTCTTGATTGTTGCTGGGTTATTGGATCCGCAGCGCCCTGGCGAAACTGTTAACACAAACTCTGGATTCCTTGACCAGCTGGCGCTGCCTGAAATGCAGGCCGCTGGGCCCGGTGAACAAACTATGAGAGAGTTCATCCTTTCGAGCGATTGTGTCTTGGAGCCGTTGATTTTGTTTTGTACACATGCTCTTAGGATGCGAGACTCGAGATGTTGCGGCATTATTATCAGAGTATTCAGGTCTATTGTGCCCGAGTTCCAAGCTGATAGGGCTGACATTCGAGAGTTCATATGTCGCGAGGTGTTTATTGCTGCTATTGAGGTAAGGGTTTTATATCCCCCCGTTTATCTTGTCTCAAGGAGAAGCTCTGATGAGTGTTTCTAGGCACTGCACACCGATTACTTTGTTGATGTCCAAAAGGACCTTGCTCAACTCATCGCTGCCATCTTTACTCTGTACTCGCCGACTTCCGGCACCCCAAGGAGTCTATTACTGAACCTGCCAGGGCTTACGGAGGCAAAGGTGGATGCTTGTTACAAAAAGCTTACCGCAGCTGGAAGTACCAGGCAGCAGCGGGCTCTGATCCTGGAACTCCTAGACGGACTAAGAGGAGTGGCAATTAGCGAAAAGGGCAAGCTCCAACGCCCACAAGTTGGCAAACAGCGCAGCCAGGCAGAGAAGAGGCAACAGCAGCAATACGCCGAAAAGCGAGAGTCCCCAGATTTGGGTGGGGTAGCCGACATGTTTGCTTAATTCCCTACTTTCATTACAAATTCGAGTGTCATTTATATAAGGCTGGATCGGTGGGTGGGCGTTCGTTGTCTAATATAATTTTTCCATTTTGCTTCCATGCGAATACCGCATATTCGTCTACTCTTTTCGTTTCTTTTAGATTGGAGGAGGGTTTTCTCGCTAATCATTTCTGTTCTCTACTCTTTTCACTCCTCGTTTTTAGCTTCCATCATATCATTTGTCGTCACTCGCTTTTTTTTCCTCCTTGGTGTGACCCTCTCCCGCTTAACTCGACTCATTTAGTTGGCTTCAATTGGTCTTTGCTCTTCTTTTTCTTTTCCACCAATGGTCTCCTACTCTATTTTTTATATTTTACTCGGTGGGTAGTCGGGTGATGTGTTTTTTTGTACTGTAATTTTATAAATTTTTAGCAAGCTAATACATAAGATTTGGGAATTTTTGTGCGAGGGATTGGGGCGAGTGATTCACTGTGATTTGATGTTTTGGGGATGCCTTCTTTTGAATAGGTACGCCTAGTCTCATATGCGTCGAACGCTCCGAGTCAATAGTATGCACTTGATCCACCACCTCATAAGGCTTGCTCTTAGGGCCTCATCTATAGTTTGGATTATGGCCTGGTCGGCATGTATGATATCGTTTTAGAAATATCATACCATGGTATTTCTGGAAATAAAAGGGTTTGGTAGGGGTCCTATCCTAACAAGATATTTTTGTTTCCAAGGCAACCTTATATGGTCACTATGAAAATTTAATGGAGTTTACGAAGGAAAAAATGTGAAAGAAGCTAACCAAGAGTTTAAGCATTATGGTACCCTAAAATTTGGGAGAAGAATATCATAACAATGTCATTATCATATCGGTATGTATTTTCTTTTCTATTTACTCTGAACCCCTAGGACATTGTAAGAGAAAATACCTGATTGGAAGAAAAAAAATACCGTGGTATGATATCTGTGGCGTGCCGTACAGACCTTGATTCAGTATGACAAGGCAAGTTTCACTATGATAATAATATTATCATAATAATGATAATTATGCGAATCGCGAGGGCCATAAGTTATCACTCGTCCTGTAAGCTGTCCACCCACCCACCAGCGAAGCCATGTCATCTCATGATGGTTAAGCAAACCTCGAAATGGAGACACGAGGTCCTACCCTATCCACGCACCTCGCATGACAACGAACGAAGTAACGCCCTCAAGATAAAAAAAGAAGGTACTGCACAGCGTGCCTTGGTAGTCCCATTTCGTTAATCTCTCTTTCGTTGGAGGGCGATTGAGTTACTTGAGTCCCTTATAAGCTCCCACGTGTCAGTTTCGGTTGGGGGACTGTATATCCGCTTTTGGGGAGTGTTGCTTTCGGTTTGGCGGTGCCCTGCGTTATTTGTGGTGTTTGGGAGATGTCCATATTGTACCGTGAAAACTCGAATGATTGAGCCGTGTGCTATTTCTTTTGTGCATTCCTCTAACGGTGATGTCAAGATTTTTTTCTTATATATATATATATATTCTGTCTGGGAAGGGGTCGGGGGGGGGGTTGTGTTTTTTGCCATTATTCCGCAGAGGGGGGTTTTGGACTACATAGTACACCGTTCGATTATTCGAGTTTTTAAGGTACTGCGCAATGAAAGTTTCAAGTTCAACCATCTGAAACATCTAATTGGATCAGCTGTCTATGTTACTCCCCTCTGTACTTGTGGCAAAGCATAGCTGCGGTTCACCGCCCAAACAGGATGATAGAAGAAAGAAATATCCAAAAAGAGGAAAATAAGTGCTAAGAACTTGAAATATCTTCGGTAAATAGATAATACAAGTCAAGGTTTTCTCCAAGTCTTTCATATTACCTGGAAATAAATATTAAAATAGTTTCATATACCATAATATGATACCAGTAAAAGGGTAGCTACTAAGCTTTCTGAAAATGTCTATAAGTTATCAGTTACACTAAAAACAAAATTGCTCCATAAATGAACACCAATCTTATAGGAATATTATGATAGAGTAACTTATTAGGGTATTTTAGTAGTGTAAGTATATATATATTTTTTTCTTCTTCCCCTAGTTGGCTTGGCATTTATGGAAGAGGCTTATATAAGGAACTCTGTTATACTCCCTTCTTTCTTCTCTTTTTTTCCTGTCATTTCTTTCATTCTTTCTTCTCATATAACATACAATAATCACTTATATTCTTATATGTCCTATTATGATATTTCTACATAGCAGCATGTCTGAAGTAGTATGTTATGAATTATATTATTCTTTCTCTATTCTGAATTCTATTTACTCCTACTTTGAGCTTAAAGTCTGATACTAATCTCTTTATTATTATTATTATTATTATTATTATTATTATTATTATTATTATTATTATTATTATTATTATTATTATTATTATTATTATTATTATTATTATTATTATTATTATTATTATTATTATTATTATTATTATTATTATTATTAGAAAATACCGATTACAATAAATACAAAGTAATTGAGATAGGCTAGTAGGTGGAAATTTACTAATACAGATAGGGGAAAAATTTATAAGAAGAAATGAAAGAGCAATTTAGGTAGGTTAGTAGGAGGAAATTTAATAATATAAACAGGAAAGTAGTTTCTAAGAATAGGTAGACTGGTGAAAGGCAATATACTAGTAATGAGAGGAGATTTTTTTCTTCTATAAGAATAGGTAGGAAGAAGATTAAAATAAATAAGTGAGAGGAAATTTACTAATACAAATAGGAGAAGAATTTATAAGAATGAGATAGGAAGCAGTTTAAGATAGGCTGGTAGGGGGAAATTTGCTAACACAGACAGGAGAGAGATTTACAATATATGAAAGAATAGTGTAGGTGTACTGGTAGGAGAGAATCTACTAATAAAAATAGGGGAAGAATATATAAGAATTGGTGGAAAGGAGATTCAGGTAAGCTAGTGAGTAGAACTCGGAATTAACACAAACAGGAGAAAGATTTACAAAAGATAGGAGAGCAATACAGGTAGGCTGGTGAGAGGAAATCTACTAATTAAGAGCTGGTTTCCTTCCAATTTCACTGTTGCTCATACAGTCACTCAGCAGAAGTGTTTGTGAAACCGGTCTCAGATGACTAAGCTGCCTCGCCAAAATACCACCTTTCGATGAAGTGTAAAGTTAATCGTGACCATTCACCCTATAGTGACCATGATGATTTACAAATCTACACCCACTGAAGCCTCCTTTACGTAATTAATTAATTTATTAATTTCCTCTACCTCTTTTACTAATAGTTAAGCATTCTGGAAATATGAAGTATGCCGTAAAAAAAAGACTCCCACCTAAAACCACCTGGAGAGAAATGAGCCTTGCAGAGAAGGACATGATAATTGCCTTTTTCTACTGCCTCTAGAATATTGCCATGGTGGCTCAAATTATTAGACACCCATGGACAACAGTTAAGAGCTTTCTTGTCCGGGCATGTGAACGCCAATCTCTTGAAAATCTTCCTCACCCCAGTTGCACCCCCATTTTGGGTGGTCAACAGTGTCGCACAATTATACAGGCAGCCAAGTCCAACTGGAAAATGACCAGATGCGCCTTCAGGGATTGCTATGTACCTGGTATTTCTCTTGATACTGGTAACTCTTTGTGCTACCCAGAGTGACTGGATATGATTGCCTACTAAATTTGCCTGCATAGTGGACCAGGTACTTAGAGAAGCAAACATTAAAAAATGGATAGCCAAGTCAAGAGCTAGGCTAAAGTCTAATCGTGTGGCAAAGAGATTGAGATGGGCTACAGCTCATAGGGACTGGACAGCTAAGGATGTTGAAAGAGTGATTTGAAGTGATGAGTGCAGTGTGGAGAAATCCAAAAATCCAAAGCAACAATGAGTATTCTCAGAATTTGCAGAGAAGTAGTTGGCTGATTGTGTACATCCAAAGGAGAAGGATAAGAGAATTTCACTTATAGTTTGGGGCTGCTTTTGGGGCAAAAGAAAAGGTCCATTAGTTCCTATTACTCAAACTATCAATAAGACCAGGTATGTTAGACTTTTAAGAAGATATCTTTTTCCTATTATTCATCAAATAATTTCCTTTGGTATACAACTTGAAGATGTTCTTTTTCAGCAAGATAATACTCCTGTTCACAAGGCATATAGTGTTATGGATTGATTGGAGAGAAACAGTATTGAGGTTGTGCACCACACCCCTTATTCCCCTAATTTAAATGCTATTGAGCATGTATGGGTTGAGCTTAAAAAGCGATTACACTAGCAGTATCCAAGGATTGCAGATACTCTAGGAGGAAAAGAGGCTGTTAGGAGAAGACTTGCACATGTATTACTATTAGTTTGGAAGACAATTTCTGAGGAGTTTTTTGAGAAGTTGTAGAAATCAATGCCTGATATGGTGGCTGCAGTTTTAGAGGCAAGGGGTGGTTATACAAAATATTAGCTAGTTTAATTTATGGCAGGTCAATTGACAGTTAAACGTTGAGAGGTGCCAGTAGTTGTTGATCGTGAATTTGAACTTGTGCGTGTACACGCCCATTGACAACCCGACCGGTACTGCCTCACCATATGGTGCAACTGTAATTAAACATTGTCTCAGATCATGAACACTTCTGCAGAGTGACTGTAGTCAGGAAAAGCAAGTGTGAAGCTCAAGCAAGTGTGACGCTCCAGACTTTTTTTTTTTCCCAGTAGAAAGTCTCCTAACCTACCTGGCAACGCTGACCTCCCGTAATAACAATCACTCCCCAGTTATAGTAGCTAGTTCCACTACTATTTAATAATACTCATACAAGTGTTAAATACTGTGTCATGAATGTGGCTTAGCACGGAAAAGGTTTTCACATGACTCATAATTATGAGTCATAGGTATGTTATTGTTTCACATATATGACTCATTTGGGTAATATGACTTATTATGTTATGATTTGTTATTTTTTGCACATGACTCGATTATGAGTCATGAGATGTGTGCCTGGCGAGTATGCCTTGCGAGTGTGCCTTGCCGGTATGCCTTGTATATATGATTTATATTTTGCACATGACCTTGTTATGAGGTCATGGGTTTCACACATATGACTCAGTCAAGTCATATGACTTGTTTATTGTATTATGATTGGTTTATGAGTTTTTGCACATGACCTTACTATGAGGTCATGGGTTTCGAGCGTGTGACCACTTTGGTCACATGACTAGTTTGTTATGATTTGGTTTCGCACATGTGACCACTTTGGGTCACATGACTACAGGCAGGAAGAACACTATATAAGGAGGCTGATACGGCTGAGGAGGATAGATTCTTCACACTTTGTTCTAAGTACTTTTCCTCCTTCTTTCACCCTGTGTCGGACGTGAAGGTTCGGTGACAATCCAATCAGAGTCCTTGATTTCTATCTCATAATAGGCTTCAAGTCTTTAACTTCGAACACCTTTTAGGGACTT